AATACCATCTCTCTGATCCTACTTTTAAAACTTGTAACCTGCCCTCTTACCCCAGGGAATTCTCTGTCTGGTTATTGTGCTTTGAGCTATTTCTTTCCTCCTTTTGAGACATGGTCCTGCTATGTAGTTCAGGCTGGTCTTGAATTGATCCTCCTGTATCAACCTCCCAAATGCTTGATTACAGGCATGTGCTATCACACACACTTTGATCTATTTCTTTACTCCCTATCATTGCTCACCTTTTAATACATTCTAGAATTTATTTCTTCTATTTAGCCATTGTTGTCTGTCTCTTCCCTCACCCCAAATAAGCTCTATAGAAACAGGCATTTTTCTATTCTGCTCATCAATGGATCCCAACACTTACAAGAGCACTGGGAATATAAGAGATCTTCAGTGAATATTTGTTGACTGACAAAATGTGTTTGTGTGTGTGTTATATGTATATATATTATATATATATATGTATATATATAAATGAATGGATATCTCAAAGTCTTTAAAATACTTGAGGTTTGGCAGAAAATGCCACTGTGGGAAGGTTTAGCCCTTGAGCATTAAAGAGCACACCCATTTTGAAAACTATAGGACTTAGAGCCCCCCGTCCTGCCCATAGCTCTTTCTTGCTTCTAGGCTGTGGCTTTTGAGCACCTTAGGGAACAAAGACCAACAGAAATACAGGATTATGCAAACAGGGCTGAATAGAATGGGGAAAAATTTCTTCTTTAAGGTTTCTATTGATTACTGTAATGTTTGTGTCTTAAATATAATTATGGTGGAAAAAATGGTTTTGAAAGATTCTAAACTATTCCCTTCCCTCACCTGCCACACAGCCTGGTCCTGCTGCTAGCCTACTTTGAAAATCTCCTGCACGCTTCTGAAGCTGGCAACCAGCAGAGGGCAGCAAACGCCCATAGCTGGCCTTGCAGGAGCTCCCTTTGGCAAGAGCAGGAAAGACCAAGGAGGTATCTGCCAGCCAGTGGCTCAGGATTCCAGTGCTTTGGAAGCAAGAGGCTGTCCATGGACTCCTACATCTACCTGCAGATGGGACTGGTGACTGATGTGCCTGGGTTTCTGGGCACATCATTATAATAAAAATTGAGACACTACCAGCACTACCTCCACCATCAAGACAATAGCAACTGTTTCTTGTGTAACCACCATGTGCCAGGCTTCATGGTAAGCACTCTAGATATGCCACTGGGTGTCCCCCTCGCAATGACTCTTTGTAGTAGGAAATGATTCTCTATTCTACAGATGAGATAAGAGGCTTCTTGAGATGAAGTTACAGGAGAACAGCATGGCGGTGAGGAGCCCCGTGCAGGACTCTGAGACCTCTGATCCCACCCTTGTTTAACCTCTGTGCCCCGGAGTTTATCGTCTGCCAAACAGGAAATCATAGAAGAGCATATTCCTCCCTGACGCTATGCCTGGACCATCTGTTGTAGACAATTATTAATACGCTTTTACTTTTGGCCTTTCTGAGTTTTGCTTTGCTCATGCCTTTCTTGGTTCCTTTGGATTTTGAATATTTAAAAACATTCCTTTAATTTGCCTATTGACTTTTTTTTAATTTTTTGCCTGTTGACTTTTAAGTATATTCTGTATTGTGTTTTAGTGACTACTCTAGAGATACAGTGTATATAACCTAATTTCCCCAATGCACTTAGAGCTAGCGCGATGATGATAATGAGGTTATCATTTTTATTTTCAACAATCATATATATATTTTAAGGAATGTAAGAGGAACAAAATAGTCTTTTACATTTACCCAGACACTTCCAACTTTTGTTGTTCTTTGTTCCTCCCTAGTATTGCAGGGGTCACACTCTGAGGTTACCTTTGGGGTCACTGCCCTTCATTCTGAAGAACTCAGGCCTTTCTTTCAGAGCAGAGGGGACAGGAGACAGAGTGTCTTAGTTGTCATCTATCTGAGATGATCTTTCTTTGTTTTACTTTCTTTTTGTCTTTGCTTCTGAAACTTATTTTTGTTGGCTAGAGGATGCTGTATTGACAGGACTGGGGATATAGCTCAGTGGCTCATTCTACTTGTATAGCAGGCCCTAGGCTCTGTCTCCAGCATTGCCCTCCCCTGAGCCCCTCCAAAAAAATCTGTACTTAGAATTCTTTTTCCACCCTAACCCCCCATCTTTAAAGATGATGTTCCACTGTCTTCTGCCTTTTGCAGTTTCTGATGAGAAATCTATGGCAATCTGAATTATTATTCCTCTATATGCAATATATCATTTTTCTCTAGCTTAAAAATGTTTTTCCAGCCAGGTGCCAGTGGCTTATACCTGTAATCCTAGCTACTCAGGAGGCAGAGATCAGGAGGATCATAGTTCGAAGCCAGCCCGGGGAAATAGTTCTCAAGACCCTGTCTCAAAAAACCCTTCACAAAAATAGGGCTGGTGGGGTGGCTCAGGGTGAAGGCCCTGAGTTCAAGCCCCAGTACCACAAAAAAAAAAAGTTTTTCCAATCTTTTCTCCTTATTCTCACGATCCAACTGTGAGAATAGCTTCTATTAACTGATTTTCAAGTTACAGACTCATTCCTTTGTATGGAGCCTATCAATAATTTTTTCACTTCAAATATTGTATTTTTCAGTTCTAAAATTTCCACTTGGTTTTGTTTTTATAGTTTCTATTTTCTGCTGAGAACTTTTACCTTTTTATTCATTTCAAATGTGTTTCCCTTTAGCTCATAGATTATAGTTACAATATGGCTCTCAAGTGTCTGTGTGATAGTTTTACCATCTGTGCCATCTCGATATTGGGCACCTGTTGATATTCTCACCCCTTGAGAATTGGCCACATTTTCTGGATTCCCTGAGTGTCAAAGATAATTTTAACTTGTATCCTGAACATTTCAGAAATGATGTGTAGCTGCTGAAGGTTTTTATGCTTTGTTTGCTTTGGTTTTAGTTAGGAATCAGCAAAGTCAGGTTTCAGACTGCAAGTCTATCTCTTCTGAGGGCCATGATGGTGTTTCCCCAGGCCACGGTCACTGCTTTGTGTCTATTCTATGCCTCTGCCACTTAGGGCTCTGTATGGGCAGAGGTTTAAATGTGACTTATGTGTCTAAGTCCTTGGAGTGCTGTTTTGGGTCTCTCATGTATGTGAAGTTCAAGAAGAGCTTGGCTTGGGTGGATTGAAGCATAGAGGCGTCCCCTTCTCTCAGCCTGAGCCTCACCCTTTGCAGGAATCTCTTTTCCTGGTTTGTCATGCCAGAAAGATCTGGTCTCTCGGCATTGTAATCATGTCTTTGCTGCTGTGTAGCCCCACACTGGACCTGGGTTTAGGACAAAGCCATGAGAGAAAACAGAAGGACACAGGACTCCCTTTCCCTGGTGCCTTTCTAGGGAGAGAAGTGGATTTTCTATGGTAGTTTCTGCTGATGCATCTCAGCTCCACTGCTGGGGCCTACTCTCGGTTCAGAGGCACAGGAGCAAAGAGGAAATAAATACCTAGACCACTTCTCCAAGCTTTGTCTTCTTGCCATGATCTGCCTGCTTTTGTTTACTTTTCAGCAACCTCAACTAACATCTGTCAGACTGAACTGGATGCTCTTTGAGGGAAAGGACTGAATCTTGTTCCCAGCTATTTCCCCAGCATGATGTTTGGCATGCAGTAGGCACTTTATCAAATGTTTGTTGAGTGAATGAATGAAAGCTAACAGTCTGAAAGTGTAGTACATGGAAGGGGTGGCAGGGGATGGAAGTGTAGACAGATCATGCAGGGCTTGAATGCCATGTTAAGAAGCTTGGGCTATTTTAGAAGGCAATGGGGAGCCACTGAGAGCTCTAAGCAGAAGAGAGTTATATCAGTTTTCTATGTGAGAAACACCTCTCTAGCAGCATTGTGATGAATGAGTTGGACAGAGATGAAAGCAGGGAAAGAAAAACCAGGAGGTCCCTGTAATGACCCTGAGGGCCTGGTGGTATGACGGGGCCTGGAGAACAGTGGAAGTGTTCAGCTGAGTCAGGAGGAGGGCACCTCTGAGGTGTTCGGTGATGCCATTACTCCATGTGGCTCTGCCTTGCTCTGCCCTCCATGCAAGGGCTGTGCTTCTCTCCCCAGTGCCTTCCATGGGCCTCAGACAACCACCTCCCTCCTTGGCATGACCTCAGTAGGGTAGGCTGGTAGCCTCCCAACCTCAGCGTGATCCAGAAGGAGAAGCCAGAGTCCTTGTGAAGTGAGCTTGGCAAGTTTATTGAAAACCCAGGAACACAAAGAGCAGAATACAAACAGGCACCCACCCACCCCTAAGCCTTCTGGAGTTTGCAGACACAAACACTGCTGTGGTGAAAGAGGTGGGCCTCACACTTCCACAGGTGCAAGGCACACAGAGTGCTGCGGAGCCCACCTCTCCACCTACACCCCACCTGCCTCTCCGACTCACATGCCACATGCCGGAGGTAAACCAACAACCAGAAAGAGAAACAGACAGGACAAACCACTGGGAGAAGAGCCATTGCAGCGGACTTAGGTGGGCCTCCAAGGACTGTGGGTCCTTCTGGGCCAGGAAGAGAAAGAAAGAAGTCTTTCCTGCCAGGAAAGGGAAGAGGGAGGAGCAAGAGGTGGTGAGCTAAGGACACCTGCAGCTGCAGTCAACTCTGCCTTCTCCAAGTGACTCCAAAGGATGGGGACCCTGGTGCCCGCACATCTGCTTTTTGGCTTTGGATGGAGTCTCTTTTTATAATTGTACTGAATCTGTGTTTTCCAGCCTGTGACTGGAGGATGAGGGAGGCTCTAAAAGAATGAAATTGGGAGTCAGGGAGAAGCCAGCCAGGGTTGGGCTGAGAATCTACATGGTGAAAAACATCCCGGGAGAGGACTTGACCCAGGTACAGCAGCCCCTGGGGAGAACCAGGGGTTGACGTCCTGGCAAGACCCTTGTGACTGGAGACCCGTCAGGCCCAAAGTCCACGCCTTGGGGGAACAGAAGCAGGGGACATTCATCTGGTTCTTCTCGGGTCAGTGGCCATCCAGGCTGGGCTCTCAGTATCTGGTCCGGCGGGAGGTGGTGGTGGTCGAGAAGCGGACGCTGGAGTTGTGGCTCCCGCGGCCACCACTGCAGCTACTGAAGCCGCTCTCAGTAGGCAGTGGGCAGGGGATGCTGGGGACACAGGTATCGCCCACGATCACCGAGCCACCTCTGACACTAGAGCTCAGCAGGTCCCCTCCAACCAGGGCACCCCGGGTCCCACCGAAGCTGGAGCCACAGGAAGCCAGGACCCCTCCGGTGGTGCTGGTGCGGATGCCGCTGCTGCCCGAGAAGGTGACACCGCCACGGGAGAAGGTGGAGTTGGAGACAAAAGGTTCAGGCCCACACACCACGCCACCCCGGGAGCTGCTCACAGCTGTGGAGAAGAATCACCAGAGAGGTGTTTCCAGGAGTCAGTATTCACTTTGTCTTGGTGGTTCGTTTAGTGACTACACTAAAGCTAAGCATTAAAGGAGGATTGGCCAATTCCCAGCATATTTGTACACATCCCTAGATTGTCATTTCTATGTGGCCCAAATTGGTTGGGTTGCCGGAGACCAGGCAGCTGGAGCAGTGGCCGCTTTCTCTGCCATTATAGTGTACTCCTTTATCCTCTCCAGTTTCCCCTGGGCCAGCATACAAGAAGCCCTTCGATACAAGTCCTTTGTCAGTTCTCTCTTGCTGCACTGGTGGCTCTGCTCTGCAGTCCTCTGAGCCCCACTGGGCATTCCCTTCCTCATGCCCCAGGACTCCAGTCCAGCCAACCAGTGCTTAGACCAGCTTCCACCTGCCCACTGCACTCTTTTCTGTGCTCAGCAGCAGCAGCAAGAGGAAGAATTTCCACTGGCCTTGTCCCATCCCTGCCATCAAGGAAGAGAAACCTCTTTGGCACAGGCCTTTCCATTCCTTCTGTCTCTGAGGCAGTTCCCTTAAAGAACAAGGCCACTCAAAACAAAAAAGCTAACTCTTTTCTAGAACCTTCTGCCACCTGGAAGGCCCTGACAGCCCTTGTCGGCACTTTGCTCCAGGGGATCTCAGAGTTCAATGAGGACATGCTCCTAGTCTAGGGGCCAGATGGTCCCTGTTCATCTTCTTGGCCAGACTAGCCACCCTCGGGAGCCTCCTTATTCTAATTTGAGTCTAAGTTCAGAGGAAATTTGAAGGAGATAGGTATGTGAGGTGGAAAACACTTAAGTTGCTTACATATATTGACTGGTCCGACACCTTCACAGATCCTGGAGAGAGAAAGAAATAAATCAGTTCACACACACAGTCCTTCCTGAAACTTGCTTGCTGTCAAAAGGGTTTCTGGTTTGGGTGGACCAGCAGCTCTCATCCCTGGATGTACATGTATCTGGAGAGCGTTGAAAAACACCATGTTCCTAGCCTACCCTAAAACTGTAGAATCAAACTACTTGAAGATGTATTCTTGTTGATGTTGTTATCATAATTTTAAGCAAACTAACCAAGTAAAACTCCAAGTAACTAGCCAAATAACTCTTGGATTTAAGAGCATAGATCTGGAGCCACCTTCTAATCCCCTGTCAAGCTCAACTGACTAATGCTTGCAGAAAACACTGTCACCTCTAGAGACTGTCATTTCAGCATTTCTTCACCCAGTACCCTCCCCTTACTTGGTTAATCTTTCCGGATGCCCAAGTCTGAGCTCACTCCCATGCTGAGAGCACTCACCGGATTTCCTCGCCTTCCAGCAGCTGCCTGTAGGTGGCGATCTCGATGTCCAGGCCCAGCTTGGCATTCATGAGCTCCTGGTACTCCCGCAGCTGCCGAGCCATGTCCTGCTTGGCCTGCTGCAGGGCGGCCTCCAGATCTGCCAACTTGCATTTGGCATCGTTGAGGGCTGCCTCACCCTGCTGCTCTGCCTCAGCCACTGCGGCCTCCAGCTTGGCACGCTGTAGGGAGGGCAGTTTGCAAATGGGCTTAGCAGGGACTCCCAGGTGGGTTAGAAACACTGCTTTTGTTGATGGAGGTGTAGGCTGATGCCAAGCTAGGGATAAAGCCTCTGGTAGCTGCTTTCCCAGGAATGGGGATCCTGCAGTTTGCTGTCACTTGGAGGTGGGGCATTGCTTTTCCTCTGTTTCCATACTGCTGACTCTGCCTGTCCTGATTTCTGCTGCCCATGGAGTACCAAGGAACACCTGATCTCTGCCTCCCCTCTGCTCTGAGTCAGTCACAGGCCTTTCCTTCTCTATGGGAGGTTCTTCCTCCAATCCACTCTGTATTTTCCTCTTGCAGGAAGCCTTCCTGGAAAAATCCTCCATCCTTTGTTTCCAGATTTTGGTGAGTCCCTTACCTCGCCAGACCTGGGACTCCCCAAAGCCAGGGGCCCTGCCTTTCCTCCCTCTATGGCTTTTTCTCACTTCCTTTACCCACCTGAGCCTTGGCATGCTCAATTTCTGCCTTCAGCCTCTGGATCAGCCGGGTCAGTTCATTGATCTCGTCCCGTGTGTTTCGTAGGTTGTCACAGTGTTGGCCAGCTGTCACCCGCATCTCCTCATACTGTGGGCAGAAGGGGGTATTTTGAAGATTCAAATGTCAGGTCAACCCCTGCTGGGTCGGGAAACTCAGACCTCCTTTGAGTCTTATACCCAGGGCTGCCTGCTCCCCTTCCCTGGCCTCCTCTTGCCCACCTTGGTCTGGTACCAGGCCTCAGCATCAGCGCGGCTGCGCCTGGCCACCTCCTCATACTGGGCTTTGACTTCAGCAATGATGCCGTCCAGGTTCAGGTCCCGGCTGTTGTCCATCTTCACAATGACTGACGTCTCTGAGATGTGTGACTGCAACAACTGGATTTCCTGTGTTGGAGGAGCAGAAAGGCTGTTGGGCTCAGAGACCCATCAGTGGCTGGGATTCTGCCACAGTATCCCCAGGATGCGGTGCAGGGGCAGAGAACAGTGCTTATTGATTTAGGACAAGGAGAGACTCTTCAAACTGAGGGCAAGGAAAAAGACATGCCTGAGAACCACTGCAGTTTGATACTAATATGATTAGAGACACCCGTCCAACACACTACCTGGTTTAGGTGAATATCAAAACCATGGTGTGGGGCGAGAGGGGCTAGGGGCTTGGTAAGAGGAGTGAAAGCTATGCTAGAGCTTCAACTTTTCTTTGGCTTATCCACAAAGTTGCTTTTCTGGTCATGGTCCATGGAGAGCTGACCATACTTAGAGCACAATAGTCTAGAGATTCCTATACCTCAGGTTGCTCATATAACCAGGGTGGAGGCAAGGCAAGGGCTCCAGAGGGAGCTTTCAGCCTCTTCACCTGAAGCCAGAAACTCAGACCAATGAGATCACTTATGAAGCAAAACATAGCCAGTTGTGTTGGTTAATTAGATCAAACACAATTTTTCTGACATTTGACAAATTGATTTTCCAGAGTTGCTTGGCCAGTAGATAAGAAGTGACATTCCTAGACTTCGGTCTTTAGATTGGCTGATGAGGATTTGGATCATAGATGCAATGAAGTCAACCCCAGGCCTGTGCCAGGCTGTGAGAAGCCTATTTCCCTGATGTTCTCCACTTGCAGATTCATCAACATAGAGAGCACACAGACTTGAGTGGGAGCAGAGATGTGTGATACCAGTGTTTGCCAGCCTAACTAAGCCCTTCCCTAGGCTTGCTTGCCTAGAGAAGATGAGCCTCACCTCCAGGTACAGAGCCTTCAGGAATTCAATTTCCTGAGTTAGGGCATCCACGTTGGCTTCTAGATCAGATTTATTCAAGAAAGCTGTATCCACATCCTGCATAAAAGAGAAAAATGAGTATCATTACCTGTGTGTGCTTTTCCTTTGCCACTTAGGGAGGGTCTGGAGATGGTGGGAAGACCTGGCCAATTTCCATAGGCTTCTGGGATGGATGGAAACTCACTGGGTGGAAATGAAGCTTAGCGACTGTTACTTTTTCTCTACTGCAGAGTGAAAACTCCCATACTGGCTATTGGACATTCTCCAATGCTTACTTAAAAGCAAACAAAGTCTAGATAATTCAAGACACTTAAAAAGTCATTTTTCAGACCAGTGTTCTCATGGAACCCAATCCTAAATAATGCGAGGTCAAATCAGAATTTCGGAGTCCCATTGTGTTTGGGTGAGTAGTTCTAGACCCCATAGGGTTGCCCAGGGAGTTTCCAGTGAGTCTGGAGAACATTTGCCTGTCTGGAGAACTTTGTCTGGACCTGTTCCTCTCCCTTACCTTTTTCAGAGCCACAAATTCATTCTCAGCATTGGCTCGGAATCCCACTTCCTCTTCATACCTGGAATGAATAGAGACAAGGAGGGTGAGTTCTCACTCTGAACTGAGAGCCCAGTGAACCTCTTAAGACTCCCCCTCGTCCATGGAAGAATTTGGATCCCTGTTGCTACCCACTTGCTATTATTGTCTCAGTCCCATCTTCAAGACCTCTGAGCCAGTGGTCCTCAGTTCCTCCAAACCCCTTTCACTTTTTCAACTTGGCTTTGGCATCAGCAAATCTGACTATTGCTACGCTCTTCAGGTAGAAACTACTAAGGACCATTGCACTTGACCATAGAGGAGATAGGATCCAAATCAATGCTAAATGTGGGCTCCTTTTTCTGGGGTCAAGTCATCCATTGGCAGTATTAGGGACAAACTGCCCAATTCCCAGACTTCTTTTTCCTTAGGACCCATGGAGGGCCTCCTCTTCATTCATATAGCACTGTCCCCTGCATGCCCTGGGTATTGTAACCAACATTGAATCCTGATCCTTCCAGCTGTTCTCATCTTAGCAGGGCTTCTGTTTTGGAGACCAGCCCATGCCTGTCCTTGGTATGTGAAACCCAGGTGACACTCACTTCTTCTTGAAGCCCTCAAGGACATCCTGCATGTGGTTCTCTCAGCCTGCAGTCGTGCTTGGTCACTGACCAGTACCTCTAGCTGCCTCCGCAGGTTGGTGATGTAGTTCTCAAAGAGAGGGTCCAAGTTGCTCCGGGCACATTTCTGCTCTTGGAGGAAGCTCCATTTGGTCTCTAAAAGCTTATTCTGTTGTTCCAAGAACCGCACCTAAATCCCAGGGGCAAAGAAATGGCATTTGCAGTGTTTGATAAGGTCACCACAATGGCATATTGTCCATTTCTTCAGATGGCTGACAATGATTCTCCACCATATGTTGACAGTATTCTGCCTTCTACCAACTCTTATTCCTCCTATAACTCAGTAGATGCTGGAAGGGCAGGTCTGCAACCCCCTCCTCACACTCAGCCAGGCCTGGCTACAGAGGCATTTCGAGACCAGTTCCCCTTGGACCTTTAAGCAAGGTGTAAACCAGGTCATAAGGAAGTTGGAAAGATTGATTCTACTTATGCTGGAGTTTGCTTGCATCTGAGAATGGATGTCAACCATTCCTAGTAGAGCATGAAAAGCAGAGGCCAGGCTGTGGTACAACCACCATCTCAGATATTCCATAGGCTGAGATGTGTAGATCTGGAAGAGAGCTTACAGCATCTTTCTCTAACCCCCCTAATGCTAGAGAGAAGCAAACTCACAGAGGTTCCTTCCCATCCCAGACACGGCCCAGCACCCATCTCCACGTGGACTTGACTGTGGGACACCAGTGCTTTTGATGATCCACATCACTGTCCTTTGTGTCAGTGACTACCAGTGACTGTTCCCATATTTCCTTCAATTTTGGCCAACACTTAATTATCCCATGTGTGTGTGGTGAGCTAATGAATTTTTTACTTTTTATACAAAAATTACTCCACTGCATTTTCAGTTTCCTACACCTGGTCGGATGAGGTCACCACCTCATCTGTATTATAAACACAATGATCTCAAAGAATAAAACCTGTTACACATATGCCTGGTCTAAATCACCAGATAGCAGATCTCAGTTTGCCTAGATGCCCTCAGATTTGGCTGGATGTCCCTCTTTTCTCCAGTGTCTTAGTCCATTGCACTATTTAGCAATTCCTCTGACTTGTCCTTGCTCTGTAGCAGAGCAAGCTCAGACATCATCGCTCAACATCTCTAGCAGATACCTGAAGGGTCTGGGGTCAAAGGCAGTGCTCTGACCTGGACTAGCTCTTGTTAAGGGAAGAAGCACCCCAGTGACTTTCAGTGCTCGGCATTCTAGACCCAGAGGTTCGGCAAGCATTGGTACCTTGTCGATGAAGGAGGCAAACTTGTTGTTGAGGGTCTTAATTTGCTCCTTCTCATCCTTCTTCACCCTCTGTGCATTGGGGTCAATCTCCAGGTTGAGGGGCGTTAGCAGGCTCTGGTTAACAGTCACAGCTGTGATAGATGGAGCTGCTGGGATACCAACTCCTCCAACTCTGTAGCCAAAACCAGGGCCGCCGAAACCATAGCCAAGGCCACTGCCAGCTCCAAATCCCAGACCAACACCACTGCCGGCCCCAAACCCTAGACCAACACCACTGCCGGTCCTGAAGCCCAAACCAACACCACTCCCATCACCAAAGCCAAAGGCTAGCCCACTGCCAGCTCCAAAGCCAACTCCACAGCGGATGGGACGAGGGCCCACAGCTGCTATCCGAGGTGAGCATGATCCAAAGTTGATGACACTCCGACTACCAAAGCCACCAAGGCCCCGGAAGCCAGACCCGTTCCTGCAGGAGACAGAGCTGGTCCGGAAGCGGTTCAGGTTCTGAGGGGTGATTGCTGAGCAAGAGCTGAAGTTGCCCACCCGGTGGCTAGAGCTGACTCGGTAGGAGCGGCAAGACATGTTGGCTTTCTGGGTGAGAGCTGAAGAGAGGTTGCAGAGTGGGGCGAGCTGGAGCTGGGAGTCCCTGTGAGGGTAGTGGATCCCTCTCACCTCTTTTATGTGTGTGTGGACCTGAGGATTGGCCCTATAAAAATGAAAAAAGCCATTTGAAGGCATTTATGAGCTTGGGTAGTTAGCAGAAACTCTTCATGCCTATAACCTCCTTCACAATGAGCTAACTCAGACACACCTATTCTCATCAGCATGAAGATTATAACATCAAACCTATAAACATTAAAAACACATAAACATTATAGTCCTATATTTTCCCTATAAGTCTGCCACAATTGCCCTTATGGGGACATTAATTCCCTTTGGCCATAAGTCCAAAATCTTTTTCACTGACAGTGTGGCTAACCACCAGAAAGTTAGATTGGTGACAGTTCCAGCGAGAGACTCACAAAGGATGCATCTATGCAAGTCTACCCCCACTCAGGAGATAGGGGGCTGGTGTGCCGAGGAGAGACAGGGTCTGCACAGCTCCAAGTAAGAAATGATATGGAGAGAATACAGCTTATTGCATCTCTGCAGATAGATTAAATAATCAAAAATTGTTTTGTAGTATTCTATCTATCCTCCTTGATCTGATTTGACTGTTTACTTAAGAGTTGAATCTGCAGTAAAACTCATCAGGGTTAGTGTAGACACATTTCTGATTCGAGACATTCAACAATTATGGAGCACCTGCTCTGTCCCTGGCAGAGGACTTCTATGTGTACAGCTACCACATGACTTGGAGCTCCCCCAACACTCCATTGGCCTGACTTATAGTCCTGTCTGCACATGTGCCTTGAATTATTAATGATTCTTCAGTTAGTGTACAAAGACACAAAGCAGTAAGCATCTGGGTAGAAAACGGAAAGTCCTAAGCAATTTCATGTTGCTATTATTGTTAGCAACATCACAGGTATTCAGGTCCCAGACATGCTGCATCTGTCTTTTCTAGCCGGTACGTGACATGGTTTTTCCTTCTTTTCCTGTGCCAGGGAAAATGTATGTTTGTCTGGGTATTTGGGATTTGACTTTGAAGGGGATGATTGCTTTTGACAGGGGATACCCAAGTGTGCACTGTTTTCTATAAACCCAACTGTCTGCTGTGTGTCTAAGAGAAGAAGCAGAAAAATAAAGTAAATAGCCAGAGAATAATTCTTGTCAAGATCACCAGCTGTCTCTGTGTGGCTAAATTCATTGGTCTATTCTTAGCTCTCATTCTTTATCAAAAATATTTAACATAATCCACACACTCTTTCTTTCCAAACACGCCTTTCCAATTTCTTTTTAGTCTTCTTAACCAGTTCCTCCTCATGTCCCCAACCTCAACACACCACAGCATCCTGGGCTCAACCCTCACACCTTTTCTCATCTTTACCTATACTCACACCTTGGTGACACCATGCACATTCATGCAGAACTCCCCTGAACTCCATACATATTTTAATCAATAGCTCCATTTGGATATCAAACAGGCATCTCAAAGTTAATATGTCCCAAATTGTATCCCTAATTGTTCCTACTTAATATATCCTACTTGTCAATTTCACTCTCCATGCAGGTCAAAAATCTTGGAGTCATTCTTTCCCCCTCTGTTGTTGCATAGCTCTCTTTCCTTTCATTGGCACGTCTGCCTTCAAAATCTACTTATTTGGACTCCAACTACTTCTTGCAACCCCCACTGATATCATGTTGGCTCAAGTCCATCACTCCTCACCCAATCCATTCCTCTGACCCTTCAACACCGTGGTCAGGGAAATCCTTCAAAAACCTATTAGATCATGTCATTTCTATGCTCAAGAGCCAGTGCCATGCATGACTCTCTACAGTGTGTCTCCTTCTTCGCAACCTCACCTCCCTCCACGGGTCCCTACTGCTTACTCTGCTCCAGCCACTCCGGCCTCCTACTTGTCCATCAAAAGGCAGGACACTTACTCACTGCTGGGAACTGCTGGGAACATTTTCCCTCAAATTGTTCCTTGGCCAGGTCTCTCAACTCTTTTAGGTTTTTGTTCAAATGTCACCTTCTTACCACCTATTGAAGCTCCCTGTTCCACATCCTCTCTGTCTCCCTCCTCTGCTTCCTTCTCTACTGAGTACTTCTCACCATCTGAGGCCCTCTTCTGCATGGCTTGGCGGCTGGTGTCTATCTGTACCGGCTGAAGTGTAGGCCCTGGAAGAAGGCACAACTGTTTTGCTCATCTGGTATCTCCAGTACTCGGTAGAGTGGGAGCACATGGTAAGCATGCTGTCTACTTTTGTTGAAGGAATGAATACACTACAAAGGTTTACAGCAGGAGGAGGAAAGGGAGAAATAAAGAAGAAAAATTTGGGCATTCGGTTTTGCAGATATTTCAGGAGGAGGAGCCATTAAGCTTCAAAGTGGACAGATGTGGCCCTGGGGGTACTGGAGGTGCAGAAACCCCAGAGCTCACAAATCCAGTTTGTTATCAAGCTTTGGCTCTTGGAGTTTGAGTCTGTCTGCTTGGAGGCAAGGGTACGCCACTTCTTTGAGGTCAGGCAAGGGGCTCCAGGAAATTGGAAAGGGGACCAGAAGACTCCACTAGAGGTGAAAAGAGGAGGGGAGCAGGATGGATGGCAGGGAGGACACCAGTGAGAACAGACTTGAGACAGATGTTGGGCCAGATGAACCTGGCTTTAATAACCTTTTGGCCACCTGCCTGCAGTGTGGCCTTGCACAGGGTGCACTGAGAGCAGAGTGGCAGCAGTGCTCTTCTCCAGATGAGTGCAGGTGATAAGGGTGCCCACCTCCAGAGAGCTTCAAAAGAACACAACTTAGTAAAATCCATTTGCTTTGTACTACCACCACACCCTGGGCATGCCAAATAGTGTTTGTAGTCTAATACCACCTGTCACCTTAGAATACCAGTGACCTTTGGGAGCATTTTGACCTGTGTGAGCCTCAGTTTCCTCACATGTGAAAGGGGTTAGATCTCTTTCACAGTGTTCTGAGGATTCAATGTGAACATTCTGGGATGTGTGATGTGTGGGACTTGGCAGCTGCTCTGTGCTCCACTGCCTTTCCTTGCTCCTGTTCCTTCCTCCCTTGTTCTCTCTGTCCTCTTCTCTCTCTTTGGCCCAGTTCTCCCTCCACTTCTGAGCAGTCCTCTCTGTTCCTGTACCACACCCTCTGCCCCTTCTGCTCCTGTGGCTGAGACACTCATTGCCCCATTAAGGCATTCCAGGGCTGTCCCAAGTCTCGGCTTCCTAGATCCCTGAGCAGGTCAGGTGGGTGGGGGTGATTGGGATCAGTCAAGCATAACCATGTCACCATCAGCACTTTATAGTTCTGAGACATGGTTTTGCCAGAGGACGTATACCATAACCCTCAGCCATTTCTAGGAGGTGGAGAGAAAGGGAGGAGGAAAAGTTGCCTTGGCAACTCGGAGCTGGAGATTTTGCTGCTGGGACAGTTTCTCTTGCTGTCATCAGTCAGCCTGAATGTAATCCCAGAGATCTGCTGGCAGTGCCCGCCACGCTTCTCAGCAGTGTTGCTGTGCCCCAATTGCTGGGTCATCATGATGCTATCTGTGCAGAGGGAGGAGACATGCTGAGTGGGGCGGTGGGGGGAACTCCTTCTTGGGAGGCCAAGCAGTATCCGGGAACCCTGGGCACTCTGTAGCTGCGTGTGTGAGGGTGTGTATGGGAAGAGGGATGGAAGGGGAAGCCCAGATGCTGAGAAAGCTTTGCTGAAAGCTGTCTCCTTGCAGAACTCTTTCCGTTCTGCCTGGGGACGAGTTGTGCTGAGCGAGTCATTGGCTGGAGCAGCTTTCGTGCTGAGACCTGCCCTAGTCAGGAGAGCAAGCTCCCAGTCCCCCAGCGGGAGATGAGGTGGGCAGAGACATCCGAGTCCACCCTTGCCCAGCGCCTTCACCTCTCTGCTCTGTCAGACTGAGGACCACTGCTTGGGATCCAAATGCCTCCTCAAGGGAGGTGAAGTGTCCTGTCTTGTTGGGTACTCCATCCTCTAGGAAGGATGAGATTTCCAGGTTTTTTTTTTTCATTTTTCTTTTATTATTCATATGTGCATACAAGGCTTGGTTCATTTCTCCCCCCTGCCCCCACCCCCTCCCTTACCACCCACTCCGCCCCCCTCCCTCTCCCCCCCACCCCCTCAATACCCAGCAGAAACTATTTTGCCCTTATTTCTAATTTTGTTGTAGAGAGAGTATAAGCAATAATAGGAAGGAACAAGGGGTTTTGCTGGTTGAGATAAGGATAGCTATACAGGGCATTGACTCACATTGATTTCCTGTGCGTGGGTGTTACCTTCTAGGTTAATTCTTTTTGATCTAACCTTTTCTCCAGTAGTACCTGTTCCCCTTTTCCTATTGGCCTCAGGAGATTTCCAGGTTTAATCCAAATTCTTTACATTGCTGATGCTGTCACTGCCCAGAGTGAAAATGTTTCTCCTGGTAGGTGCAAGTTCTGTTTGTTTCAACAAACCTTCATTGTGTGCTCAGCAAGAATATTTGCGACAGCACGAATAGGTGCTGGGATGGCCCAACAGTTACTTCCAGTACTCAGATTCAGTGACTTCTTTTGCTTATGGTGTCATTTCTGAAGCCATTATCCCTAACCCTTGCTGGAAGTCTTTCTGAGCACTTAGTAGCTCCACCTGGAGAGAGACAGAAATTGGTGGACCTGGGACAAGGTGGTGACTGGGCAAGAAAGGGCCTGTAGGGCAGGGGTAGAGGGTGTCTGGGAGGTGCCACTAGAACAGGGTAGGGTCTTCAGGTAGAGAAGAGGCTATCCATGAGCACTTGAGGCAAGGAGAGGATGAGGGAGAAGTGCATGGGGGTCTTCCTGAGGAGACAGACTTAGAAATAAGGAGGTTTATTCTGGGTCCTTCCATTTCCCGGTGTCTCTTTGGGCTATTCCCTATCTTCCTGTCCTTGCTGGGCTATCTGTGAGTGACTGGGATTGGATTCTCCAGGCAAAGTTTAAGGCAGTAAAGCTCTGGCTTTGTGCAGATGACTCCCTGCCCCACTCTAAGGAAGGAAACTGGGAGATCCCACTGTTTCACAGCACCCAGTAGGGCTGCCCAGAGGAGACACTTAGGAGGCGTTTGCTGAGTTGAATGGAATGAGAACTACTGGGCCACCACCAGGAGGCACTTTGGTCCCGCCTGCAGTAAGTTATCTTCTCCCTTGGGGAGGGAGAATGGGCCATTTCACAACAGAACAGGGTGTGTGTGTGTGTGTGTGTGTGTGTGTGTGTGTGTGTGTGTGTGTTGAGTGGGATGGACTCTAGAGTGGCCATGCCTAGGCCTCTGAGTTCACATCCAGGTCTGAGCTGAGGTGACCCATTGCTGGAATGAGTAGTAGTGGATGGTTCCAGAAGGACTCCCTTTCCCAACAGACCCAGGAGCTCAGGAACCAAAGTCTCAAAGGGACAGTCACCAGGTCTGGAGCCCCCTCAGGGAAGGTGGCGGATCTTCTTTATTTTAACCCCCGCCACAGTGGGGTATTTCCTGTGGGATAGAGATGGCTGTCCTTAGAATCTCCATGTTAGCTGACTCCGGGCCACAGTGTTCCTGTCATTTTTGGAGTTTTGAGTTATTAATCAGCAGGGGGATTAGCTGGTTCCAGGTCCACAGTGATGAGGATTTGAGTGACCCCACTGTTCCCCTCCTCCTTCCCCAGTATGTGGAAGGTGTCTCTGGAATCACAGACTTGACAGGACCCTGGGCCTGTGCCTAGGCTCAGCTCCCAAATGCTGGGCTTCTTTACCCACACAGTCCTGCTTGGCCTTTGGGGTTGAGTCTTGCCTGCCACGTCACTCCTCCTGGAGAGCTTCCCTTCAGTTTTGTTCCTCTACTTTCATGACAATCCTCACAGTTATAATTGGAGTTCTAGGTCTATGTTCCTGCTAAGCTGTAAGCCTTATTAAAATAAAATTCACAGTATCATGCAATTTGCTCATTTAAAATATACAATTCCATGGATTTTGTATAGCAGTATATTCACAGAGGTTGGCAGCCACCATTACAGTCAATTTTAGAACATTTTTTGTCACCTCAAGGGAAAATTTCTAGCTATACCCCAGCTCCCATTTCCCCCTCTGGCCAGTTCTCAGCCACCTCTACTCAGCGTTTTGCCTCTAGAGAGAGCCCTAGTCTGGACTTTCACTACATTTATTATATAAATGGGATCATATAATAGATGGTCTTTTGTGACTGACTTCTTTCACTTTGCATAATATTTTCAAGGTTCACCCATGTTGTAGCATGGATCAGTACTCCATTTCTTTCTATGGCCCCAATAATATCCCATTGTATGAATATCCCACATTTTTTTAACTCATTTTGTTTATCTGTTGAGAAGTATTGATGTTGTTTCTACCTTTTGGCTACTATGAATAATGCAGTAAATATTTGTGTGAACATAAATCTTTAATTCTCTTGGGTATGCACCCAGGAGTGGAATTTCTGGAGTTTATGGTACTTCTGTGGTTAAGATTTTCAGGAACTTCTAGACTATTCTCCACAGTAGTCACACCACTTTATATCACCTCTCATGGGCCCTCCATACTGGGCTTACTGTACTTTCAGGACTGTCTTGTTCACCGCTGTACTGTCAGCCCCTGGGTGGCCTGACCCAAGCAGGTGCTTGATAAATATATAGTGCGTGAATGAATGGGTTCTTCTGAACCCACTGCCTGTGAATTCACAACTCCAGGCTTCCTGTCAGATTCTTGCAATCTTCCCTGACAGCCTCTCTGACCCCCTTTCCAACCTGATCATTAGCTGCCTCTTGCTGCTCTCCCACTCTTTAATCCTCATTTATTACTCCTCTGTGAGGCAAGAGTTGCTCTGGGGTTAAGAGAGCATCTCCATCATCTCAGCATCACCAGCCTTTAGCAAAGGGCTTGGCACAGGACGGGGGCTCTGTGTGAGGCTGTGGGGAGGGGGACACTCATTCCAGCTCTCAGGACCACAAGGGAGAGAGAGCCCCTGGGGAGAGACTGTTTTGGGAACCAGTGAGGCAGCAGGGTACTGGGGCCTCACAGAGGGTTGGGACCACTGCTACAAGTCTTGTCTCCAGATCTTAGAGTTTTCTAGTTAGGGAGAGATGACTGAAGTGTCCTGGTCCTTCTCCTGTGCGGGGCTACTGTCCATCTCCACTGCTTTCCCCAGGCTGGAGCTACTCAGGTCCAGGGCTTAGGGGCTGCTAAGTTCAGACATGACACTTAGAGTGGGTTTTCTTTAGATTGTGTGCAGGGCCTCAGGAAGCAAGGAGGCCTGTATGTAATAAAAATGGGGTTTGTAACGTGGCAACTGACTTGTGTACTATTGGGGGGTGATGTGCAGGTTTTAGGTATGACTTGAGTGGAGCCATATTTACGCCACAGGCCACTTGCATTTTACCATTGGCATAACAACCTTCATTTCCTTTCCCGACCCTTCAGTTCCCAAAGGCTGCTCATGATTCCCCTCTGCCTTATTGCACACTCCCCACAGAGCAGGGTGAGTCATCTTGATTCCCATAGTATGAACAGTCAGTTTATTAGGAACAGAAAGTCCAGAGGCTCCTGGCAGGGAATTTGGATCTCATGTGGGCAGTGCTTGTGGGAGGGGCTCATGAGGGGTGAGGGGTCAACTCAGCGCCTCCTCCTTTCTCTCCCAGCCCACAATCCAGAGCCTCCAAATTGCTTGGACAGCTCTATAGCACTGTAGGGGAAAAATAGCATTCATATCAGACCCAAAGACCCAAAACCAGAGGAATTAAATGGAGAGGGAGCAAGAATTCGAGGCTATGTACAGAAGATGGGTGGGGTGCGGCTTGATTCCTTTAAACAAATGTCAGCTCTTGATTGTCTCACTGTCCAGTAACTCTTCCATGGCCCCTTGCCCTTTGTTCTAGGCATTTCCCACCATCACCTGCCACTGTGAGCTCAGGAAACAGACTTATGTTCATAGTTTGAGTTCAACACACCTAAGCAAGCACATCTGTCCCAATGACCACCTGTTAAATCTCTGTGCTGGGAGACACTGAACATTGGCTGTTTCTGAGTGATACTGGAATCCTGGCACTTGACTTTAGAATTCAGAATGGGACCCGAGGTATCTCCTTTTGAGGTTTCCAGTAACGCATGCTTCAGATGGGCAGCTCACTTTTCTTAGGTGTGTGAGAGCCAGCGGGAAGGGAAGTGGGGAAGCAGGGGTGGGTGTGGTGAGGATGGGGCTGGCTGTGTGGGACAACTGTCATGGGACCTTCCACAAAGCAGAGCTGTGATGTGCCCACTTGGCCTTTTTACCCGGAAAAGAAGTGGTTGGGAGTATAGCCTTTCTCTTAGCCATACTAAGGCTGATGTTATGAGTCTAGAGGACGGGAGGAATGCATTCTTTCTCTGCATCCCACCCCATCCCAGAGCCCAGGTCAGTTTTGCATTCAGCTATGTGAAAGGTGACATTTGAAGATAAAGATGGACCTAAGGAATAGCTCAGCTTTCAGTGGGGATCCCAGGGGAATCTGGAGTCAGTGTGAGAAGGTAGGGTTTTGGAATATCCTGGTCTTCAGCCCTGTGGGAGTGTGATATCCAGGACTCTGGTCCTGGATTCCCAACCTCTGGGGTAATGCTAACACTAGTGGCCACAGGAGCTCCCCCCGGTCCCCAGCTTCATGCTGGAGCTCCGCCCACTCCCACAGCCTAGGCGTCCCTGGGGCTCGCAGGGAATGTAGAGTTCACCAGTGCCCACCACGCTGCAGCCCCCACTGCTCCTGAGGACGCCGGTGGTCCCTGGGCAATACTCGGTTCTCAGCATGGGTGTGCTGACCACACATGGCTCATATAGGACGGCACCTTTGGAGCTGCTCACGGCTGTAGGAACAGGAAGGGATACTCAGGGCTTTACCCCATGTGGCGCTGAGGGAGCTCCCTGAAATATCTCAGCTGCTGCCACTCGTTTGCAAGGGTACCCCATTTCAGCTGTTGACTTCCATGTCTCCCCATTCTAGCTTACAGCTAGTGCTCAGAAGAACTCTATGTGCTTCTCCCTTGTCCCCAGAGCTTTGGTGAGGCCAGGTTTGATGCCTGTTTCTCATGCTCTCAGTCCTGTCTTGTTCCCCCTCCTTGTAATCCTCACCCTCTACCAAAGCATCCTCTTGTCACTGTAAGCCTTGGGGTCTTCAGGACTATGATACACATCCGCTCCCACTTTACCTCCCCAAAAGAGATGGCTGATAGAGCCCTTCTCTATCAGCCCAGGGCTCATGGCAGACAGGGCTTTTCCTGTGGGGTGGGGGAAGGAAGACTCCAGAAGTCTGGGTGGAGTGGTGTGGGGTTCTATGTTGGTTGATCAGCTCCCAAGACCCAGAACCCTGGGGGGCATGGCTCATCTACTTACAGATATTCACGGGCCCAACGCCTTCACACAGCCTGGGGAGAGGAGGGAAAAGAAGACAAGATAACTGCCTCAAAGTGCACAAGCCAGGCTGGACAATGGGGCTCTAGCTTGTAATCCTCGCTCTGTGGGAGATTAGATCGTGAACATTGAGGTTTAAGGCCAGCCCCGGTAAGCAGTTCGCAAACCCCATCTCAGCCAATGGCTGGACCTGGTGCCATCCCAGCTATGTGAGGAAACATAAATAGAAGGATCGCAGTCCAGGCCAGCCTGGGCATAAAGCGAGACCCTATCTCAAAAATAACCAATGTAAAAAGGGCTAGTGGAGTGGCTCACGTGGTAGAGCACCTGCCCGGAGCTCAACCTCCAGTATCACAAAAACAGAGCATATGGCTGTCCGTGAAGCACCTCCCCTACTCCTGCCTTCACTGTGTAAAGGGGAGGGCTCCCTCACTGTGTGCTGCTTTGGATTTTTCCATGACTGCAAGATGGGTAGTAGCAGCAGCTGTCCCCAAAGGGGTGATGACACACCCCTTGCCTTTCCTCATCTCAGGCCTCACCTGTGCTCCTCGCCCTCCAGCAGGCGCCTGTAGGTGGCGATCTCGATGTCCAGGCCCAGTTTGGAGTTCATCACCTCCTGGTACTCCTTCAGCAGGCAGGCCATGTCCTGCTTGGCCTTCTGCAGGGCCTCCTCCAGCCCGGCCAGCTTGCACTTGGCGTCGTTGAGGGCTGCCTCACCTTGCTGCTCTGCTTGAGTAATAGCCCCCTCGAGTTTGCAGCGCTGGGGAGAGGGCACAGAAAGGCATCACTGGGCCAGGCAAATCTGAGATTTTCCTCTTGGATATGCTTAGTAATTTGGGGGGGAAGGGAGGGTGGCTAATAGATTTTCGTGCCTGGTTGGTTTTCACTTACTTAGGAGAATTGGGCTGATTTTATGAATAACTCAGAGTCACAGGATTAGAGGCTGGCTTTGAGGGGACCATGGAGGCCACCTTTTCTCTACTCCCTTGCTATTTCACCTCTGTCAGAAGGTCACCTCTAGTCTGCCTCACTGGTGGACAGCTCTGACAGAAAGGGCTTGCTTCCTGTTAAGTGAGGCTTGTCCTTGCTTTGGCCCCGCCGAGCCCAAGGGGCAAGTTAGCCTCTGATGGACTCTCAAAGCCAGGTTCCTGCCTCACCTGTGCTTTGACTGTCTCAATGTCTTGCTGCAGCCGTTGAATCAGCTTGTTCATTTCCAGGATCTCGTTCTTACGGTTGCGGAGGGTGTCACAATGGTCCCCGGCTGTCAGCCTCAGCTCCTCATACTGCAGGGACAGAGAGGTTAGAGCCCAGGCTCTGTCTTGTAGCATCTTCTAGTCACCTTTCTTACTGTCTTCAGCTGGTTTGTCAGTGAATTCCCAGCTTGGGTGGTCTCTGGTTTCTTAATGTGTATCCTGCCTTCCGTTCCCTTTCTATTTCTGATCAATTGTGGGGTCCTTGTGTGGGTTGCTCCTTACTCTTTTCTCACCGCCAGCTCTGAACCTGTGGGTTCATTAATGTCCCTCCAGGCTTTACAGTCTCCTCCACTCAGATCAGATCTGTTTCTGTCTGCCGCAGAGCCAGAGCTCTGCCACGGGTCCTTTCCCTCGTCCATGTTCCTTTGGACCTTGGAAGGGGTTTCTGTGCTTTGCCTGGGATGTTAACACACCATGGAGTACTAACAACCAAAACCAAAATACAGCGTTATGTCCTACTTTGGTTTAACATTTAAAAAAATTATTTTCACTTTGAATTCAATTTCTGACATTTAGAGATTTATATTACATTTATAGATTTTTTAAAAAGATTAGCAACTTCAGATTTTTCTGATCACAGATGGGTACACCTTGTATAGAAAATGCACAAGATAAATACAGAACGTCTTTGACTCTTGTTGCTTGGTTACTGTGGGAAAGCCTGCAGTTGCCTAATAAATATCCACTCTTCTCTCCTTAAAACAGAAGGGGTGGAATTCGCTACCCCAGGTAGAACATTTCTCAGCCTTCTGATCAGTGAGATCTATGGCTATTGCTGGGTGGAGCTTCCAGGAAAGCCCCATTAGTGGGGGAACGACTCAGTTGTCATGTTCCCCCTCTGTTCTCATTCTTGCCTGGCATGAGCATGTGATGTTGGAGGCACTGCAGCTGTCTTATAACATGAGACAAATATAAGCATGATATCCTGTGTTCAATACAGTGGAATGGAAAGTTAGAAGCACCCTGGGTCCCTGATGGAATCTTATAACTCCTAGGTCATCCTGAGCAGTTTATTTTTATACTGTATTATCTGAGAAAAAACGTAAAAACTGAAATTTTAGACTATTGCTTTAAAAGTCTCTGATCCTCACAGCCAAATATAATCCCTAACTCATAGAATTATCTTTATGGCTCTGATATAGAAGGGTGGGAAACTGAGCTCAAATTCCGAGTCCACCTAATGTTGAGTGGCTCAGGAGCAACCCAAGGAGGGGCCAGATGGGGTGAAACCTGGCCCCGAATGGACCACAAATAGGGTCCATCTATGCTACAGTTTGTTACTTGGTTACTACAGATCTTCAGAACATGGGCAGAGTACCACTTGAGGCATCGCCTGGGCAGTGGTACCCATTTCCTTCAGAAAAATGTCCAGAATAGCTGGCACAGCTCTATGTAGGTGCTGAACCAAGCCCCTTGTGGTCTATGCAGCCCATTCTCCCTCAGCATCTGGTATACCAGTGGCTACACTTTCAGGCCTCTGCATCCTGGTTCCTACTGCTCCTCAGAAGCACACCCTCCCTCTGTTCTCTGCTTATTGACATCTTACTTGTCCTTTGAGACAGATCAGATGACAATGTCTCTGCCTTTCCAGACAAAATTTGTTGCCTCTGTCATCAACTCCATAAACCAACTGCTGTACCTTGGCAGTCACCGCACGCTCCCATATATTTTGATGTGCTTAGATACACATTTATTTCCCCTAGGACTGGGATGGTCGGACTGTTGGCATCCTCAGTGCCACCCTCCTCCTCTTTCCTAGCTACCCTGTCTAAAGCCACACAACCTCAACACTTCCTACCCTCTGATTTATTTTCTCCATAGCATGCATCACCACCTGACGTACATCTTTGTACTTTGTCTTGTATATTGCTATTGCCTGCCCTTACCCCTGCCTCTAAGAGGGAAAATGACAGGCAGGTAGAGCTTGCCATCTGTCCTGTTCCCAGTTGGATCTTCAGCTTCCAGCACTGTGCTTCGCACATAAAGGATGTTTAATATACTGTTGCTGAATGCACGAAGCAGTGAATGAATGCAGGTGCAGTGCCTTGCACAGACAGGCAGTGAGACCAAGATGATAGTATTTGTTAAGTCATATTGCCCTGAAGGCTGCCACCATCCTGCTTGCAAGCCCCTAATTACTGAGTCTGGGACCATCTTAATCACCATTTCTGCTCCACCATTTCTAACTACCCACGCCACCAGCCTCCTCCCACGCCTCAAAGCTCAGAGTCCTCTTTGCCATCACCACCAATTAGATTCATTGGTTGCTGCTTAGAGGACCACTTCTGGTGAGTCTGTAAGTAAACAAAGCTGGGCACCTGGTATGCTGGTGGGGTCTCTCCTGTATATTCTACAGAAACCTGGCCTAAAGCCTGTCAGAAACAACAGGGTTGGGATTTATGGGGTTCCCTGACACTGTGGCATGGCCCAGCCCTCACTAGCTACATATCCATGTCCAGGGGAGGAGGACATCTTGGGGCCCTCCCTTCTCCCTCTTCCTCTTGCCTTCCTCTTGTTCCCTCTCTCTTGTTTTGCTGTCCCTCCCATCCTCCAGTCCTGTCCTTCTGCACCCCCAGCCTCACCCGGCACTGGTACCAGGCCTCTGCTTCAGCTTTGCTGCGGCTGGCGATGTCATCATACTGGGCCTTGATCTCAGCAATGATGCCATCCACATCCAGGTCTCTGCTGTTGTCCATCTTCACGATGACCGAGGTCTCGGAGATCTGAGACTGCAACAGGGCAGTCTCCTGGGGAGGCAGGTGTGAAGGAGTAAGCTCTGAGGGTGTGGGCACAAAGGGTCCCACACTGAGTCTACTTGGATCTCCCTTGGCAGATGCTGACCACTCCGCTCTTCCAGTACTTTAGTCATCAATGAGCTCCTTGTGCCCATCCTCTAGTGATCCAGAACTTTCCTAGAGGGACCATGGACCTGGGTGATCTGACTTCAGGAGTCCCACTCCCTGAACCCATGGGACTTTCTTTCTGGGATTGCCGTGGAAATGCACCTGCTGGCAAGATGTGCCCCTCCTCCAGCCTCTGCTCCCCTGGAACTGGCCCTGATCAACCTCCTAGCAGACAGCAGGTTTACCTCTTCAAACAGGGCTTTCAGGAAGTTGATCTCATGTTCTAGAGCCTCCACGTTGGTCTCCAGGTCCGCCTTCACCAGGAAGGCTGTGTCCACATCCTGCAGCAAAGCAGTGACAGAGCCATGACCCAAGCCTGGGGGAGGGGGAGGGCTATGCCGCCTACTCGCCAGGAACCTTCTAGGCAAGCTAGCAGCAGGTGGCAAACATGGGACCACCTCTCCTCACTGAGTCCATGTGGAAGTGAGGAGCTGGTAGAGTCAAGGCGAGAGGGAGGATCCCCTGGGACCACATGCCTCGGCCTGACACCCAGATGGGGAAGGACCTGAAGGGAACAGGACTTGGAGGCGTTTCAAAGCAACTTTTGCAGAGTGGGACCTGGAAACACCTGGCTACCTGTCTTAGGAATCCTGGCAATTGTTTTCATCTTTGGGATCTGAGTCAGAGTTTTTGTTTTGTTTTTGACTTGGCATTATTCACATCTCAGGCTGCTTGGGCAGGTGTAGACACCACTCTTACCCAGCCTTGGCCCATGTGGGTTAGAGATGGAGGCCAGGCCAATTCTTACCCCTCTGAAAAAGGAACAGTGGTGGAAGGGGGTCTGACTTTTTCTTCTTTCCCAGGGTCAATGGGGCTGGCAGAGGAGTCTGAGGGGACAGGGACCCTTTAGGGGTGGGTGGGCTGTGGGCTTTGAGGGGCTGGGTATCCCAAGGCCAGCCAAGTGACTCAGGGGCTTTCTCCTCCATGCACACCTCCCTCACCTTCTTCAAGGTGACAAACTCGTTCTCAGCACAGGGGCGCAGGGAGAGTTCCTCTTCATACCTGGTTGATGGCAGAGAGAGACCTTAGCTGGGCTGTGGAGTTTGGAAGAGGCTAGAATGAGGCCTTTGGGGCCAATTCTGCCTGTCACTGATGGCCCAAGGGAGCCACTAGGTCCTGCTTTGTCTCTAGATACCTCTAGCTCCTCCCCTGCTCCAGCCACCCTTCAAGTCTACCCCCTTCCATTTCCCAGGAGACCATTTCTTTGGTGAGTCATACTCTGGAAAGTCCTCCTTAAGGCCACCTTCATTCTCTCTTGCTGCAGAAGCCTCTCATCTAGTCATTCCCTTTGGGAACCAGAGCAAGATTGTGCTGCAGGTACCCCATCTTTCCTGAGATGTTCTGAGCTGGCTGCAGTCCCTGAAATTCCCAGCTGTTCTGTGCTTCCTTCTTACTGGGAGGGTAAGCATGGCCCCTACCTGCAGTCCAGTGGAGAGGTAGCAATTACCCACTTGAACAAATTTATGGAGGCAGCTCTCCAGGATCTCCTCAGCCCACACACTGCTCCCTGAGGCAGAAGGAATCTGAGTTGGGGCTCAGACTGGTCAGACTGACTCAGCTTGATGAGCAGTGTCGATCCACTAAATGCATCTCTATGCTTCCAGGTGCCCATCTTCTCCGTTGTCCAACAGAGCTTTGCCTAGCCCTGGCCCTGGATTCCAGGGCTTACCAGCTGGGTTTAAAACCCAGTTCTATTGATGGCCAAGCTGGGTAAGTGACTTTGCCACTCAGCACCTCATCACTTGCAGTTGCGTCTCCTGTAGAATGAGGACTACCTTGTCCTGCCTCACAGGGCTGTTGTGAGTTAGCTGATGTCTGTAATGCACTGGGACAGTGCCTGGCACACGGAGGGTATTATACAAGTGTTTGCCACCGTGGTTAAAATACCAGTGCAACTTCTTCCTCCTGTTGGCCCACTTTTAAAACCAAAAAGTTCTCTTCTTGAGCTGCAAATTGGTCTCCTAATCTCACCTTGCTACTTACTTCTCAAGAAAGGCATTTTTCCTGCTGAGGGCTGGCCTCTGCCCTCCTATAGCCTCTCACAGTTTGCTAGAGTTGTCCCCTTCACTTGGCACACTTGGCCTTCCAAGGTCTGCTCTGGACTCTTCTTTTAGAAGAAGCCATTGAGAGAAACATTTTCCTTCAAGGCCCCAAGCAAGTGACACCTCTTCCAAGAAGCCTTCCCTAGCTCCTTCCCTTATTCATCCTCTTTTAGGATTCCTCTCCCCTCTGCTGTGTTCCGCATTGTAGCTGTTCACATTTAAGTGCAGGTGGTCTGTGTACTAGATTTGGCCATCTTGAGTGGGAAGGAACCACCCTTTCCTTCTCTAGAGCACCCACACTTTTCAGCACAGTGCCTGCCACTGAGAAGGCCTATGATTGCCATCCACATGTCCCCAACATCGCTCCACTTTACTGACCTCCATTCCTTATGAACTGTTACTCTGGGTATAATCACCTTGCTTCATCTTGTTTCTGTCAACTCCCATCCATCCCAGCACACACTTCCATGGGGCCCTGGGTGGGGGGCAGACCTACCCAGGACCCAGACCCACCAGGGGACAACTTTTCTAGGCCTCAGTCTCTCTTAAGCACAGGAGCTACTTGTCTGCTAGCTCATCATTAACATGTGCTCATTGGCCTTCTCTGCAGGCTGGGAACCAGGCCCAGAGGAAGGACATGTGGGGCAGGGCAGATAACATGAACCCCAGAGCACTGGGGAGTGAGGTAGAAGGAGCTAGAACTCTTGGTCATGGGTGGGGATGGAGGGGTGATTTCTGATCATCTCCAACTGTGATGGGAAGGGATGGGGAAGCCAGAAGTCAGAGTGAGAGAAAAATGTGAGCCATGTTTGCTAGATGGGTGAGGGGGAAAGGCTGGGGCAGGACTTATCAGTGGAGGGAACCGCTGGTGCAAACCTTTGGAGGAAAGAGCCCTGGGGATCTGTGGGGGACTAGAAAGTAGTTCCTGATTAGCACAGGGGAAGATGGAAGACAAGGCAGAGCAGAGAAGCAGCTTGGAGCAGAGACTTGGGGCTCCTGAAATGACAGGTAAAAGAGCATGTTTTAGAGCAAGAAAGATCATGAGGGTCTTATGTAGGCAGGGTAGCAGGAAAGGAGACGAAGACAAACACACAATTTCAGCACTTCCACCACGTGCTAAATATGTGATAATGTGGAGTGCTCTGCTTATTTTTTCCTACTTAATTGGTCTGCTTCCTATTGAACTAGCTTTTAGACTTCCCATTTTATAAATGGGAAAACCAAGATCCAGGTTGTTCTCAAAGTTTTCCCTAGGTCCTCTCTTGGGGTGAAGGCAGAGCTGACTCACTTTTTCTTGTAGCCCTCCAGTGCATCCTGGAGACTACAGAGCTCTGCCTCTAGCCTCCCACGCTCCCCAGACACGCAGTCCAGCTGTCGCCGCAGGGTACAGATGTAACCCTCAAAGAGGGGCTCCAGGTTGCTCTGGCAGCACCTCTGCTGCTGCATGAAGTTCCACTTGGTCTCCAACAACTTGTTTTTCTGTTCCAGGAACCGAACCTGTAACCAAGCAGGGGGTGTCACCAGGCAGGAGGAACCCTGGGGACCAGGTCTTGGAGAGGGCAGTGGAATGATTTTGTGCCCTCTCTAACACACCCCCACCAAGTCGCTAGAATTTGCTAAAGTTAAGGTCACTGCAGAAACTGGCATCTGAAAGTGTGTGTCTTTGTGTCTCCTCTACTTTGGGGAGCTCAGGGGTTGCGTACTGCATTGGAAAGAATGCTTCCCCAAGAGGCCTGGGGCAGGCCCACATTCCAGCTTTGGCTGCCTGTTCCTCACTAACCTTGTGGCTTTGACCAGGCCTCTGTCTGTTTCCCAAAGCTTCCACCAGGGGCAGTGAATGGGAAGCACTGGGTGCACCTGCACACTGATATGAAACTGTGATGCTTGAGGCCAAAGACATTCAGGGCAGAAGGTCAAATCAAGGGTTATGTCCTCGGGCTGTACTATCCTGTCCTGCAGCCCTGCATCTGAAAGAAGCCCAGGTCACAGTAACATGGACATCTGTGGCCCACCTTGTCCATTTTTTGTAGACTGTAACCAAGACTGAAAGCAGCTGAGTAAGTTGATCCTGGCACACAGCCTCTCATTGGTACAGAGGGCAATGGCCTCCAGTCATATCATCAGGAGCTCCCAGCTTGCTGAAGGCCGATATGGAGCAATCGTGTCGTTGGAATGCTTGTAACCAGAACTTACCATGCTTTAAAAGTAAAAGCATAAGTGGGAGTGAGCCAGCTCCTTTTTGGATGCACTTTTGCATAGATTACATCCTTTAATTCTCCCGCTGTTTTTCCTCCTCTTCCTCATAAGGCAGCAGAGTTCTTGAGGCTGAGTGGTGAGTGATTTGCACAGAGGTTTGAGTAACAAAAGTGGAGCCATGCCAGGGCCCAGCACTCCTGGCTTCTGGTCCAGGAATGTTGGCTTTAAACCTTGGGGTTACCAGAACCAGCAGCTCAGCCCTTAACATGGATCCTGACCCCAAGAGCCACCCTGGGGTGTGGGGACAGGCCCAGGGAAAGCTGAGGGATAGCAGGCAATTTCAGTGCCTCTTAAAGGCATCATGACACCCTTCCTTACAGTCTTACAGAGCTCTGGCTCTGAGGTTGACAGATGCATGGCTTAGGTGACAGCCATCTTGTGCCCCCACCTCTAACTGATTCACTTTTTCTTCATCCCAGGCCTAAAATAATGGCAAATTTTTGGGTCATTGTGCCCATCTCTGCCTTTAGGCCCAAGAGTCTTGCTGTGGCTTGGATACATAGAACACGCATTCTATCATGAAAACCTCATTAAGAAGACCTGTCTCTGACTCTTTGATCATTCTTTTCGGTATTGCTTTAAAAGTTCCTCTTCCAGTCTGCCCTCAAACAACCGTGGTGATTTTTGTCATACTATCCAGAGAGAGATGACAGAGTAAAGAAAAGGACTGCAAGAGAGAAATATTAAGTGCTGAGACTAATGTAACTAGCTTTCAACCACAAGTTTTTGTGGAAGGCTGTAGAGGCCCATGAACAACTGGTGGCTTCTCTACAGCCAGCCTCTTCCTTGTCCCCCACAGACACAGGGTGTCCTTTGTAATAGACCTTAACCCCAGCCCTGGCCCCTCAGGCCCACCTCTCACCTTGTTGATGAAGGATGCAAAGCGGTTATTGAGGCACTTGATTTGCTCCTTCTCATCTCTTTTCACCCTCTGTACCGTTGGGTCAATCTCCAGTTCCAGTGGGACCAGCAGGCTCTCATTGATGGTGACAGGGGTGATGCAGGCAGGAGGCCCACAGGAGGCTCCTGCTCGGTACCCGAAGCCAGGCAGACTACATCTGGAGGCAACCCGGGGCCTCCCAAAGCCCACGTTACACAGGCTCCGTGAGCCAAGGCAGCCCAGGACTCGGAGGCCCCCACCAGGCCCAGGCCGGCCTGGACCCTTGCTCACTTCATAGTGGGTGACTATCCGGGGCATGACAGCTGAGCAGGAGCTGAAAGTCCGACTGCCACACATGGAGCCCAGCTGGAAGGAGTTGCACGACATGTCAGCAGAGAGGCAGAGAGATGAGCCCTGGAGGGGAGAACAGGGGACAAGAATGACCAAACCATGGCTCAGTTTTCCCCTTTTATCTGGTAGAAGGATGGAGGGCTGAGCTGGGTCAAACCCCTAATTACCATTAAGTCAGGTTTATAAGCTTGGAATATTGGCAACTGCTAAGTAGCAAGATGGATAATTAGGGTAGCAAAGAGCAAAGAGGAGCCAATGGTCAATGCTGGTGGGCCCTATAAAGGTCCCATTTGTCCTCCTTCCTTGTTTATGGGGGTGATGAAAGGGGCCAACCAGATAAATATGTTGTTCAAATCCAGTGGCTCAACCTCAAGGAAAGGGAGAGTGGGATTGGTCATTTCATAAGAGGTGGCAGAGGGGCAAGAATTACACAACCTGACTTTCCTGGATTTGGAGTGCTGATTAGACGTGTTGAGGATTCTCTGCCCAAGAATTTCTCTATTTTTTTTATAGACCTTTCAGACTCAAGTGACCTCTGTGGACTCTTAGGTGACATCGGATGTTCCCAGGGAGGAAAGCTTTTGGGATGGGAGAAGCTTCCCTAGAGCAGGCTGGACCTTGCCCCTTCTCAGGACAAGTGGGGCTCTGGCTCTGGGGTAATTTTTTCCCCCATTCGGGGTCCTGATTGTAAACGGGCTCCAGGAAATGAAATGTGGCTTTCCAGGGTCCATTAGTCTAAAAAGGATGGAGGGAATTCAAGAGGAGAGACCCAAGCTTGAGGACCAGAGAGAAAGGGACATTTTCTCCAACACTCTGTGACCTTTAAGCATAGTTTCAGCATTGAGTCTAAGGTTCTACATTGCCACCTGGAGCCTCCCTGAGGTGGATGTGGCCTATCTGGCCTGAGGACATCTCTAGGGACAGTGTTATTGTCAGGAATGTTCCAGGTGGATGTGGGATTCAGAGTTTCTTCCTAGCACCAGGTCACAGATGCAGCTCTTTGGAGATACCTGCAGTATCCTCCATATCTTCTTTCTGTCCATCCCAGTCACACAGTCTCTGCTGGGCTGACTGACCTTGCCCTTTACACTGAGACTTGTTTCCAGGTCAAAAGCAAGCCCACAATAGCAGAAACATTGATTCGGGGTTTACTATGTGTAAAGAGCCCATTGTGGGCTCTTTACAGCCATTATCTCATTTGGTTCTTAGACCATTTTACAGGTAAGGAAAGTGAGGAGTGGAGTGGTGAAAAGCTCTGTCCACAAGCCACCCAGCACATTGGCAATAAGACTAGGGTTGAGTTCTGTTCCTTCTGACCTCACTGTGCATTGATACTCTGGAGGACAGAAGCCTGGATTAGGAACAAGGAATCTGCTGCCAACATGTTTCATGTTCCTCACTTTTCCACCTGGGGAGATTGGCACTCAAAGGTTTCTTATGCTTTGAAAGTTCTCAGACTAATGGTACCATTTCACACTGTCCCTCATTTCAGTCTTGACTTTGGGACCTAGAGTGAGGGTGCAGTGAGAGCCTGGGCAACGAGTGGGAGGCTGAGGGCAGTGGGTTGGGGAGCAGATACATGGTGTTGGGGAAGAACATCCCTACTATGCTCTAGCAGGCCCAGGAAATGGTGTTAATTGTGATGGTGAGGCTGAGAAGCCTGACCAGAGAACAGACTCCCCTCACAGGCGATGAGTATGTAGTGGGCAGATCTGTGAGGTCATGGCTCACAGGAGCCATGTAGACATGGCAGATCTCCCCCCACCATCTCCAGGCCAGATGACAGTCTCAGTGACCACCTTGGGCTCCTGGGAGCCCAGGATCAGGGCTCAGAAGCAGACAGAGGATGGTTCATTGTATTCATGGTGAGCAGAAGGCACCTGTCCCCACAGTTCACCAGTTCTAAGACTGCTCTCTGGGTAAGAGACAGGACAGACTCAGTCAAGACCTAGAGTGCTCAGTAACATTTTATTGAAGCTACTCAGGAAATAAGAAAGCGTAAGAGAGCGGCAAGTTCAGGAGGTTTGATGTGCCTTCTAAAGCTGTTAACTATCTTCATATAACAGAGCAGCAGAAAACTTCTTGACTTTAGGATGCATTTTGCTCTTGAATTCATGGCATGTATTTGAGGGTTTGTAATTCTTCAAACTAAACAGGGAAACTATCTGTGAAGGCCGGCTTCAAAAAGACCTCTATGTGTCCCCTGTCCCTCTTCCCCTGTGCCTTCTCTGTGCTGCCTTGGAGGGGCTGAGTACCAGGCTCTCTCAGAATGAGGAGAAGCACCAAAGACAAGACTGCCCCCCTCCTCCAAGCTTGCTGTCTCTGCCCTTCCCTGTGGACTTAGCCAGGACTGGGGACAGGTGACTATACACAGGACAAAGACATTTCGGAGGCTGAGCTGTAGAAAAAGGAAAGGGCAGAGGATAAAGAGCCAGAAACATTGCCAAATGGGAAGTACAGGAGAGGAGGAAAGGAAAGAAATAAGGAGGCCAGAGGAAAGTAGGGTCTGAAACACAAGAGACACAAGCGTGGAGGAGGAGGAGTAGAAGAAGACTCAAGTATGAATAAGTAGGTAGAAAGGGTAAGGTAAACAAGAAAGAGAACATTCCAGAAAAGATGTTACTAGCACAAAGGAAGAAGGAAAAGGTCTGAAACTGGAGCCTTATTGTTCAGGAGGACTCTCACAGGGAAGCTCTTCACTCAGGCTAAATGGATTCCTTTTTTTGCAGGCATTTTGGGGCTGAGCTTTCTTCCATATCCTCTACCTCAGCCTACTTCCCACCCCTCATCACAAGCACATTTCTATTTAGGGACAGCAATTCTTACATTGGCCTAGATGTGGCAGATTTGGAAGAAATTTGGCTATGAACCATCAGTTAATGCAGCCAAAGGCCATAGAGAACTTTTGAGTTCTCGATAAAATTATTCCATTCTAGTATGAATAATCAAGAGTTGATACTATTCTTAAGGGTTTTAATTCAAATATTCTGTTGGGGGGAATTGGCTCCAGGGTCTAGGCAGGGATAAGAAAGGAGAGGAGACACTGTGTGAGGCAGAGTTTGCAACCATCTTTCCTAGTGTGTGGGCCCAGCAGGAAGTGTTCTATCTGCAGGGAAAAACAAGTGGGAACTCTGGCCTAGACTGTGCTCAACTTCTTTGGGGCACCAAGGTCTAAGGTTGCCATGAAGGACTGAGCAAGAGAAAGCTCTTGATGTTGCAGGGGTCAGGCAGGGGAGAAGACCTCCATGGCACCTCCTTACTACTAAGGACAAAGTCTTAGCCCAGGTCTTGGCCCAGAGCAGTTGAGCCAGTGTGGGTTGCAATGGACCCTGGAGGGCTCTGAGATCAGGAGCAGTTGGAGTATCTCTGTGGGGACCTATCTGGAGGCAGAGGGATGGACAAGATGATCTTAAAACTCATAGGCCACTTGGTACACCATATCTCTTGTGATTTTGTGCATGGGGTGTTGGCAAAGCATCAGGCCTTAGAGCTAGGGAGCTCATAGGGCCTTGGGGGCGGCAAGCAAGCCAGGAGGGTGCCTTAGCTCCTGTAACTCTTCTTGGAAGATGATGTCTTAGAGATGATACGCATGCTGGAGCTGCTGCCACTGATGCTGCGACCGCTGGTGGAGCTGAAGCCACTGCTCCCGCCACTGTGGCAGAGGCCACCACTGCCACTGTAACCGCCACTACTGTAGCTACCCCCACCCACACAGAGGCCACCACCGCCACTGTAGCCTGTGCCTCCAGAGGAAGAGACCACAGCTGCAGAGAGAAGACATGAGCATGTTTTCAGGCTTTTCCACTTTCCCAGGATGCCCCCCACCTAGTCTCATCTCCAGGCCTGCTTCCTCTCATGGTGCGTGGCCCAGGTAACCCTGTGCTCTCTACCAAGGGCTCTCATGTTGCATGGAAATGAGGCCTCAAATACAAGTTGGGGACTATAGACTCCTGTGTTGTAATAGGCCTAAAGGCCACCTAGATGAGCCCTCAGTATTGGAATCCCCTTGATTTCACTGTGAGGCAATCCTCCAATACTCCAATACTCCTCCAATACTGCCAGTGATGGAGAGCTCACTCCCCAGGAGGCAGTGTCCCAAACCTGTCAAACTCATGAAGTCCTTACCATACCTCCTCTCTGAATCAGCTTCTTCAAGTGAAGGCCCCTGCTCCTTTTGGTTACAGGTTGTCCCTGGCCTCCCTTACATGGCCTGATCCAGTTGGGGCCCAGGGGTTTTTACTACCATGACCAGTGCTCCATAGTGCTAAGCTCCATAGTGCACCTAGAATGCTAAGCTTTCCATCAACTCTTAGCCCTGGGGTGGGGAGTCACTCTGAGATTGTCTCTTTTGGTCTCCTCCTGAGGGTCAAGTCCATGCCAAGCCAGTCACTGTTCTACTTGTTCAATTAATTTGCTTAAATTCTAAATGCTTCACAGCTTCTTGTTTATGGTGTTAATTTGAATTCCTACCAGAAGAGCTAAGAGTCAGGTGTTTTAACTGGGAACCATGGCTGTTTGTACAGTCTGGTCTCATTTGGGATCCTCTGAAGTCAGGCTGGAGTCACATTCTTGTGGATGTTGTCGCCAGTGGAGCCACCATGGTTTCTGGGGAGATCATCCCAGAATGAAAGTCTCTGAGCTCCACTCTGACTCCTTTCTTAGATGTGGAGAATGTACCAGTTTTGAATTTTTTTTTAACCCCACTGGGAGGAAGGGTCTCCACAGAACCCCTAAGAGAGTCTTAATGACATTCATGCCCCAGAGTGTTCATTTTCTAGCCACAAAATCCTAATTAGTAATCCCATTGGTTCCTATCTCGCCCCCCCACTTTTCTGTCTTCCCAAGACATTTACTCACAGATGTTCACGGATCCAACGCCTTCTCCAGTGAGTCTATGGTAGTGGTAGGGGGCAGGGGATGGGAAAGAAGATGACATGTCAGTGCTGAGAAGTTAGAGAGTCCTGGGTTCTTTGTACAGAAAGTCATCAGTGCTAACAGTGATGACTGTCTACTCTGTGCCTGGCTCTGTGCTTAATAAACTTTGCACTCATCTCAACAGCTTTAGGAACACAATACAAATATGTGAGGAGAAATCTAGAGGAGACATCAAGTCAAAATACATAGAGAAATGGGACGAGGGACCCGTGTCAATGAGGTGGAGTGGGACAGCCATATTGTTGGGCATCTCTGGGGAGACATGGAGCCCCTGAGGCCGATCCCAAGGCTGGTAGAATTTGTTATAGGGCCTGAGTAGCAATGGCCATGCTTAGGGCCTTCCAGGTGGTCATAACCACCTGTTCCTGACGGCTTTGACCCTGGCCCCTTCCCTGGGCCCAGCAGGACCTGTGAGAAGGGCTGCAATAACAGGGGGCCTCTAAAAGAACAGTTACATTTTCACCCTCTTTCTGACCTTGGTCTTTCTATCTGCAGGCCTCACAGTGTGGGCTTGTGTGGTCTGTGTGGCATACTAGCACATTCTGGTGGCATCCGTGTGGGCCATGATTGGGGGCAGAAATTGACCCACCTGCACTCTTCACCCTCCAGCAGCTTGCGGTAGGTGGCGATCTCAATGTCCAGGGCCAGCTTGACGTTCATCAGCTCCTGGTACTCACGCAGCTGGCGGGCCATGTCCTGCTTGGCCTTCTGCAGGGCCTCCTCTAGCTCTGCTAGCTTGTTCTTGGCATCCTTGAGCGCCATCTCCCCTCGCTGCTCAGCATCAGCTATGGTGGCTTGGAGTGAGGCACACTGCCAGCAGGAGACAGAAGTTTGTAATACCACTCACAGAGAATGCAACAAGATGTGGGCTTTAGGTGAAAAATAAGAATACCCTGAAATGGATTGCTCTCTGTCCCCTTTGGGTAATTTAGGCCTTGCCAGGAGAAAGAAAATGATTTTCTGAGCTCCTTCAATCCTGCAGTCCTGGGAGGTCACTGTCTGGGAGGCTTCTCTTCATATGGGATGATGAGTTAGGCGCAGGCCAAATCTGCCCTGGGGCAGGGGCATGGGGGACCTTTGAGAGCTTATCCCTACCTGCTTCTTTAGGTTATCAATCTCAGAGCGTAGCCTCTGCGTGGCCCGGTTCAGTTCAGAGATCTCCATCTTGGTGGTGCGGAGGTCATCCCCGTGTCGGCCGGCAGACCGCTGCAGCTCTTCATACTGGGAGAAAGGAGAAGCAGGCCTTTAGGGATGTGTGCTCCAGGCAGAGGGGTCAGACCACAGGAGATAAGGCCTTCAATGAACTCCTTGGAGACTCCTAGCTTTGCCCCCACCCAATTCTATCAAATTCATCTGCATCGTGTCTTACTCTACCCTTACTCTCCATGACCACAGGTTTCACCCCACAACTGGTTGGCTATGGCTCTGCTGTTTCTCTAATTCTTGCAACCACCTCTCTCCCCTTTCCCTCTACTCCATGTCTCTCATCCTCCCAGATGAGCATCATGCACGGCTTCTACCTCTTTCTGTCAAGAAGCTACTTCATAGTTGTTTGTCTTGACATCCCCAATGGCTCTCAGCTCCTCCAACTCGGACAAATCTCATTCTGTGGCCTTTGCCTCTCAGAGCCTCATCCTCAGCCAGCTCCCCCTCTTCTCTGGATCCCCCAGCAACTTCCAGGAAGGACTAGACCTTCCTTTGAATTCCACCCTCTCTTCCTCCTGTTTGCACTGATGGCTGGAAATGCCCTGTTGTGCCCATTTCTCTGATACAGAGCAGCCACGGTGTGTTGCTGTCCATCCCAGCAGAGGAACTGACATCCTGTGTGAACCTGGCTATGGCCCCAGCTCCTGATGGGGCTGCCTGAGTGCTCAAAACAGAGCATGAGCCTCAAGCTGAACTCAGATGCTTTGGACCTTATCAGACTAGGACAACTGAGAGGAGAAGACTCTTACCATGTCTTTGAAACTTCTGGTCTGGTCTCTGTGCTTGTTTAATTGACTTAACCTTGATGCCTCACCTTGGTCTGATACCAGGACTCAGCTTCTGCCCGACTGCGGTTGGCAATGTCTTCATATTGGGCCTTGACCTCAGCGATGATGCTGTCCAGGTCCAGGTTGCGGTTGTTGTCCATGGAGAGAACCACAGAGGTCTCAGAGATCTGAGCCTGAAGCTGAGCCAGCTCCTGTAATTGGGTCAAAAGGGGAGAAGTGAGGCAGGGCATTCATGTGTGTGTGTGTGTGTGTGCACATGTGTGTGTTGGGACATGGTGACCCATCCAGGACAGCTCCTAGCACGGAGAGTCTTGCACATTTGGGGTGGAGCTCCTTATTTAGGTCTGAAAGGCCTGAGGACATTAGTGAGTTTGCAGCAGTTCTTTATCATTCCATATTCTTGGGAAAACAGCAGCACAGATAATTCTAGCCAAAATTCTCCAGAAGTCACTGCCATTGTCAAGGCATAATGACTGTCAGTACCATGATGTCTCACTTTCTGAGAAAGCCCAACTTTTTCACCTAATAAAAACATCATCTTGGAAAAGAAGACTGGGTCAGAAGGAGTCACACAGCTCTACTATTCCCATCCCATTTCACTGATCTAGGCTCCCCAGGGATGGGAAATGGAAATTTGCTAGAAACAGCAGAATGGGCACCAAACTGAAAACTTCAAGGCACGCCTCTGCCCAGCATGTTTAGACAGCATCTCTGGGTCTCAGAGCAACTAATCAAAGACTGGCCTGGTGTGACTTCTGTGAGAATTAGATCATGCCTACACAAAATAGTTTTTGAAAAGTCAACCCACAGTTCATTTGTTAGTGATCTCTTCAGAATTATCCAAGCAGTGGTTCTCAAATGTAACCTCAGACTGGCAGCATGCACTTGCCAGTTGGGGAGCTTGGCTGGAAAGCAACATTCCTGCCCCCAGACTTCCTGCATCCTACCAGGTTAACAAGACCACCAGAGGATGCCAGAGCTCTGGAGTCCAAAAATTGCCAACCTAAACCACAAATCTCAGCAAAAAGACCCCCTTTCCCTCTTTGTTACCGACTGGTTCATACATTTCCTGTTTCAGCAAAGTGCTGCTTTGCTATTTTTGTGCTGCAATTTGTTTTTCCCAAGTAGTATCTTCTGCTCGCTGACCTCCCTGGAGGGTCTTAGCCTCCAGGCTTGCTAGGCAGTGGGCCAGCTCAGAATCAGAAGCCAGTACCACACTGGCTATCACAGTGAAGAGAATATGCAGAGTAAGGAAGCCTTTTTGTTCCATGTGGGCATTCTAAAAACCCACCCAAGAACTTGGAGCTGCTACCCCTGGTCCTGGAGCAACCTGGCAGACTTCAGTTGAGAACTAAACGTAGGTAACCCTATAGGCATATCTCCTGTTTCACCTAGAAGCATACCTGGAGGTACACAATCCACCTTACACTCTACCTCCTCACTGCTGTTCCATCTCCTCACTCTCCCCAGCCATCCTGGACCTGCCAGGGGCATTTGTACTGAAGCTCCCGGTGCCTAGGACACTGTTGCCACATGTCTTCCTGGCTCATGTCCTTAATTCCTTTGGGTTTCTTGTCAAATGTCAGATGCTGTCTGTCTGCTTTTGTTCCATATTGTCACTTTTGTCCATTGCTCCTGTCATGTCTAAAATGGTATCATTATCTGATTCTCTCTCCATGTCCTGTATCCCCTACTGTGATGTAAGACCTAGAAGTTTAGGGGCCAATTGTGCGTGCTCTGCATTGTCCCTGGTTTGTACTGTCCTGGTGTACAGTAGTGCTCTGCAAAAACATGTCTTCAGGAGAAGCAGGCAATGGTGTTTCATCCTTCCAGAAACACCTGCAGGCTCCCTAATTGCCTCTCTGTTTGCATAATTGCATCATCCCAAGGTGCTCTAGGAAAAGCAGCAGCAGGTTGATTGGGATGGGTGCGAACCATGAGAACTCTGTGCATTTGGATGCTAGGCCTTTGTCTGGCCAATAGCACAAGCTTGGTCTAAGTGGTCAAAGCTGAGTTTTTCACCTCTTCTGACCAGCCACCCTAGAGAACCTTATTTTCTCTCTGGTAGAGGAGGCAGCATCTGTCCATAAATTATAACCTGCAGATGGGGTAATGATCAGGGAGAAGGCCAGGGAAGGAGCTAGCAGCTTCTGTGCCCAGCTGAGGCCCCCAACTGCTGGCCTTCCTGAGCATGGAGAACCAGGTTCCCTCACCGCCTCGTAGAAAGCTCTCAGGAAGTTGATCTCGTCCACCAGGGCGTCCATCTTGGCCTCCAGCTCCACTTTGCTCATGTAGGCGGCATCTACATCCTGGGCACAGAACACATTCCCACTTCAAGGCCCACCCTGCCTGGGTTGGCCAGCTGCCTCTGTCCATGGGTGAGAGGGGCAGCTACAGCTCAGAGGGGAAGGGAGGGGTATGCCTCCATTTTAGCCTATGGCATGGAACTTACAGTAAGCGAAGTGAGAGCCAGGGCCCTCAGATTTGTCACCTATGTTGTCTCCCATGGTGAGGGCAACATATGCTGAGTCTCTGGGTTCCCACTGTCCCTGGACTCTCCAAGCTTCTCCCCAAAGCCTACCATTGCTTCCCCATCCTCACACTTCTTCCCGGACACCCTTCATTAACTGCTTTTCTAGCAGAGCCCCTGGGTGGGTTCCTCCCTCTCTCTGATGGCCCCACCAATCAGGAAGGCCCAGATTCCTGTGGTCTGGTCCCCACACTGCTACCCTCCCCCAAGACTGGAGACTGAGTTCAGGACAAGACCTATTTCTCTGCCCCTCTCCCTCCACTGGACTCTACACGGGGAGAGGTTGGTGTCACGATTCACAGCTCAGATTCTGGAGTCCGGGATCCTGACCTGCTTCTGATTATCTGGATAAAACTATGCAACTGACTCAACCTCTCTGGACCTTAGTTTTCTCACTTTTAAAGTAAAATTTGTTTCCAAGATTTATTGTGCAAATTAAATAAGATCTGGTAAGGCTTAAGTGGCAGCTCTAAGGCCCCCAGGAACTTGGAGTCAATAAGTGCATCTCTGTCCCTTCACCTTCTTTTTTTCTTTTTCTTTTTTAATTGTCATATTATTGTTGTACTGGGGGTGCATTGTGACATTTACAAAAGTTCTTACACTATATCATAGTTGAATTCACCCCCTCCATCATTCTCCTTTGTCCCCCCTACCCACATTACTGGATTAATTTCAACATATCTCACTTTTTCGTTTTCATACATGAGTGCATAGTATTTTCACTACATTCACCCTCCTACACCCTTACGTCCCCTTACCTTCTTGAGCACCACAAATTCATTCTCCGCCACTGTGCGTCTGTTGATTTCTTCTTCGTACCTGTGGGAAGGGCCGAGAAAGGCGGGTGTTTGGCAGTGAGGTTGGAACTGTGGGATTGCAGGTGGACAGACAATGGTGGGGCTCCAGGACAGGTTTGGAAAATGTTTTCTGCATAGCTCTCCTGTATACATATGCCTCCAAATACTGAATCAGAAATCAGCCCACCCCTGGCCAAACCAAACCCAAACTGAAAACAATGGAACAGAACCTTCCACATTCTTCCCAAGGTATCTTTTCTCATTGTCTGGCTCCTTAGTGTACCTGGGTCCCTTGTAGGAGCACACAATCTTCCTGTTTTAAAAATGGCCTTACCCCAACCCAAGGTGACAGACATGGGAAGAGCAGAGAGAATAGTCAGAGACTTCTGGGCTAGCTCCTGCTCCCCATAATGGCCCCTGTCCTCTCGCTGTTCTTAGTCACATTGATCCCCGGAGTTCACTGCATTTAGCAGTGCCCCTAGCCCTCTGGCTTCTGAGAAGAAAGTGTCCCCTCTGCTCCATGTGACTACTCCCTACCCAAGCCATGGAACATTGGTGAATCCCACCCTGTAGTCATGCTACACAACTGCAGTTTGGATCTTGGCTCCTCCATCTGCCAGCTGAGTCATCTTGGCAGGTCCCTTAACCTCTCTGAGGCTTTTTCCCATCTATGAAATGGCAATTAGTGTAAAACCACAAAGTAAGAACACATCATGTACACAATCCAAACCTCCCTGCTTTTGTGTACCTCTACTGCCTAGTAGGACCTAAGCAAATCTTCCCTGCCGTTGACATCTCAGTCCTGTGTCTTCTTCCACGTTCTCTGGGAGAGCCTATTTGGTGGTCCTTGTTATCTCCTCAAGGGCCCTTTTTATGAAATACAAACATTTTTTCTTCACTATCTCCACACAACTGTCTTTCATCTCTCTGTTTCTCTGTCCCTCTAACACACAGTCCACTCAGACCCTACTGAAACACTGCCTGGTCATTAGCTGGGAGCGTGTGCTTCAATAGATCCCTGCCATATCCCTCCCCATGGCTTCTTCCTTCTCACCCTTAATCTTTAATCTCTTTCTCCAGGAAGCCTTCTTTGGTCAAAACACCCCATATTTATATACCTATCATAAGTTATCCATCTTCACTCATTTCTCTCATCTGGGACTATATCACTACACACATCATAATCATAAATACAATAATAGCAGCTAACACTTAGCCACATCCTACACACCAGTCATTGGGCACTCCACCAACTACTTTCCATGCAAGTTTTGATTTATTACTCACAACCACCATAAGGGGTGGACACTATTGAGTTCCTCTTTAACAGGTACATAAACTGAGGCTTAGAGGACTCAAATACTTTTGTTGAGGTCATCCAGCTTGTAACAGTCACTGACTACATTCTATGGTGCTGTCCACTAAAATTTTCTGCAATGATGGGAATGCTTTTCATTCATCATATGTGGTGACAAAGCACTTGAAATGTGACTGGTGTGACTCAGGAGTTGAATTTTAGATTTTATTTATTTTTAATACATTTAAATTGTCACATGTAACTTGTGGCTACCATGTTGGACAGCATGACTCTAAAACCTGAACTCTAACTGCATTTTAAACCAGCAATCAAAACTCGTGATTAAGTTGTTAATTATGGTTGGACCAAGAGAATTAGAAATTGATTACCGGAGACGTGGCACAAGAGGCAAGAGCCTACCTAGCAAGCAGGAAGCCCAGTATCTCAAAAGGGGGGGGGAAAGAAAGAAATTATTTAGAGCAATAAAAATAAGAAATTCATGTCCATGGGCATAGGTATGTGAACATACATGGTGTTTCATGGTGTGTGTGTGTGTGTGTGTGTGTGTGCATCCATGTGTCTCTTCCTTCTCTGTTCCTCCTGAGCCCTGGTGAGGGGTAGGGTGAATGCACAAACATTGTAAATGAGCACTGGGATTTCATTGAATAAATGTGGGGGTGAACGTGGGGGTGAGGTTCTCTGGGGTTTAATTCTTTACCCTTGAGTTGCCACTTTGTGCAATCTTGGGTAAAGTCAGCTGCTTTCTTAGACTCTGACTTTCTTTGTCTGTAGAGTTTAAAAGGCTGTTGTATACACCCATCTTTGGCACCATGTTAGTCATCATCTTCTGTAACTCAGCTACTCCTTAAAGTCTCAATACTCTTGACTACAGGGTCCCAGTTCTCTTTCTACCTTTATGTCTTTTTGATTCCACCCCTATGCTCCAAGTAAGTGTCCCAATCCTGCACTGGACTAGGCATTTCTGGAAAGCAGAGCCTGTTCCTCTTCTCTCTCGCCCCTCCCCCCCAGCCTCCCTTGGAGCCCCAGGGAAGGGCTCAGGCCCTGGAGGGGCTAAGCACCCACTCACTTGTTCTTGAAGTCCTCCACCACATCCTGCATGTTCTTCAGCTCTGTCTCCAGCCTGCCCCGCTCTCCACCCAGGCTGTCCAGCTGCCGCCTCAGGCTGGTGATGTAGGCTTCAAACATGGGCTCAAGATTGGCCCTAGTTGTTTTGTGGTCTTGCAGGAGGCTCCATTTGGTTTCCAGGACTTTGTTCTGCTGTTCCAGGAACCGCACCTGCCCCAGCCAGAGATAAGAGACTGTGAAGACTTCCTTGTGGCAGCCTCCCAGACCCTCTGGGACATAGAACCCTTCCCCAATAGTGCAGGGGGCTCTGAACCTTAGAGTCCAGGCAGCAGGTCCACCTCCCCTTTGGAATATAAAGAGACTAGTAAATGTAGGTGTGATGGACTTAGGAGACAGTGGCAGTTTGGTTTCGAAGAAGCAGAGAGGGTCTTGGTCTTTGGTGTGGTTTGGAACACACCAAACCAGGTTGATGTAAAGCAATTTGAGGAAAGACCATCCTGTTGCTGGTAAGATTTTGATTTCTGTTAAATGGGTAGAAGGTTGTGGCTGAAAATTCCATCTATCCATTTTCTGTCTGACCTGGTTTCTCAGAATCTAGAATCTATACTCAGTTATCTGCACACTACAGGAGTACTGGAATGGGTCACTCTGGAGTTGTGCTGAAGGGACTTGGGCACAATCTCAGCCATGTCTTTCACTGGCCATGTGACCCTGAGCAATCCCCTTCTCTCTCTGATCTCTTGTGCTCTTATGCCACTAATTTAGGTTCTTGAATTAACCCCATCTGCATCTCAGTCTGGAAAATAGGTATAACTTTCCTCCTTCAACCAAGTATCTCCACTGGAATGCCACCCAGCCACAGAGAATAAAGAAATAGCATTTCGATAACTTTGAAGATGGCAGCACACCTACAGAGAAGCTTTCACAAATGCATCCTTTCCTCTCTAGCTTTACCACTGTTGGAGGAAGAAGGATATCACAACTCCAAGTCTCTCCTTATACCCATGTCCTCATTTCCCACATCCCCTTTGGATGACCAAGAAAAAGCAAGGTTCAGGACCTTCCCTTCATAGCCACTTCCTGGAAATCTCACCTGTTCATACAACCCAGCCCAGGTGGGGTGGCATGGGTGACAAAGCTAAAGAGCCAGTACCTCAGTGACACCTTTGGTTAGGTCTACACATCCAATGATCTGCTTCGAATGATGAAATATTCATCATGGCAGATCTGCAAATGAATCTGAGGCTCTATCTGTCTAACTCAACTGAAGCCTGAGAAGTTTATAGAAGCTGAGTTGAAACCTGGGCTTCACTCTTTTTTCCAGATCCCAGGAACAAGTCTGAGTGATCGAGATCCTTGATCCTTTGCTCTTTCAGGACAAAAACACCCAGTTAAGATGTGTGATGGTGCTGGTGCAAAATAGCCACTGTGTACTGTAAGGGTCTCTTCCAGACCTGGGAATCTCTAGGATCGCAGGCCAGGCAGAGGAAAGACTGAGGCTGAAGTCACAAGTTTCTTCTCACTGAAGGACATGTGCTAAGTGCTCTGGTGCCCCTCTCTGTCTACTCTGTTTCCCAGACATATCCTATCCCCAGGGTATGTCATAGGGAGATGCCTCTACCTTAGGAGGGCACCAGTACTGACTAACCTGGTCCAGAGAAAGGGATCTAGTCTGCTTCCCTGAGCTTGCAACCTTCACTGCTTTATCTCCTTCCTTCTAGACTTATCCCCTTGACCTATCTAGTTGTCAGCAAAGTCCATGATCACTGGCCATCAGAAGAGCAAGGTCCTTAGAATGGGTCAGAGAGCTCTTGGGAACATTTTTCTTCTCCTGCCCCATCAGCAGACTACTCAGACCTCAGGTCAGCAGGTCCTGGAAAGCCACAGCTGACCTTAGAAAAGCACAGAAAACAGAGATTCCTTGAATGGCAGCTTCTTTTTTGCCTCTCACCTTGTCGATGAAAGAGGCAAACTTGTTGTTGAGGGTCTTAATCTGCTCCTTCTCTTCCTTGCGCACCCGCTGTAGAGAAGGATCAATCTCCAGGTGCAGGGGCGTCAGGAGACTCTGATTGACAGTGACTTCATGGATGCCCCCAGCTCCAGGCATCATCCCACCTCCAAATCCATACCCGCCATAAGCTCCCCCAATTCTATACCCTATGCCACCACCTAGCCCACAGCCAGCACCCCCAAAGCTGGTCCGGCTGGAGCGGTAGCCCCCACTAACAGAGATTCTCTTGCTACCCCCAAAGCTGTGAAGACTCCTTGTCCCAAAACCACCCCCAAAGCCACTCCCAAAGCTTTTCCCACTCTGGGACACAGAGACAGAGCTGAACCCTGGCCGGCAGCCTGGGAGGAGGCTGGCTGAGGAAGCACTGAAGTTCCTTGTGCCCCCTGACTTGATGGTCATAGAGGATCGCTGGGTCATGGTGGGAGCTGGTGCTAGAGGGTAGAGGAGCAAAAATGTCAAAGGAACGAAGAGTCTTCAAAGCCTAGCTCTCCTGGGACTGTCCTTGCCTTTTATCCCTTTCAAGAAGTGGGCTTGGCCAGAGGAGATCAAAGACCACTCTGTTGAGTTCATTTCAATGGCATGTTTGGCCACAGCCCATCTTCCTGCCCCGCCAATCACCACAGGGAGCACCCTACTCTGGGCGGATCAGGCCTGGGGAGTCTGGCCTGGGGCAGGGCTGGGTGCTGAGCCCCCACCATCTATGGACACCCGCCATGGACACGCCCCTTGCTTTCCACCTGCAGCTGTCTCCTTCATTTCAAGGGCCTGGGCTCTGACCCCAGCCATTTGACTGGTCACTTATGATTTAACAAAAATGTGTTTATTGAGGATCGAGTCTGTGCTACACCGGGTGAAAGGTCTGCTGCAAGCATTATTTCATTTTATTCCTATACTTTGTGAGGGTGGATATCCAAGGCAATAATTATCATCATTTTGGAGCTACCATGGGTAAGCTGCCCAACACCTATCTTCTTGTTTACTCTTCAACAGCAGTTGTTCTTGTTCTTGTGCTTCTTGCTAGTCTGAAGCACAAAGTAGCAAAGAAATTTGACTGAGGTTAAGTGGCTAGCCAATGTTAGAACCTGGTGGGTCATATGCCTGGACTCATACTGCATGCAGCTGGAGAAGTCAGGTCTGCAGAAGAGAGGTGGCTTGTCTGAGGACAGAAGCAGCCAGCACTTCACTCCAAATCCATGGTCTTCTATTGCTCTCTTCTCTGGTCTTAACTTGCCTGTCCCATAAGACCAGGGGATATAACAGTTGTTCTCAGTGTCATTTCTCTCCTTTTCACCTTTGCCCTCTTAACCATTTCAAACTTCATCTTGGCCCTCCTTGTTTCACACTCATCTCTCTTCTGGCTTGTGGCCTCTCCCTTCCTTGTCATTGAACTTCCTATTCCTTTCCCCAGAGAGGACTTTCAGAGCTGGGTTCTCTGTTCCCATCAGTTCCCTGCTTGGTCCTGACCATTGAGACCACCCACTCCTTCTAAGGTGACCTTGGCCCCACTAGCTCAAGCCAGATGGGAGGGGTCCCGGAGACTTGTAAACTCAGGAATGTGGGAGCTTCCTAGACATCTTTCTGCTGCCTGCAATTATAGCTAAATGGCTCCTCTCCTTGGCCCCGGGGCTGACTTTTAACTCCTCTTCTGGCCTGTTATTTCTCTACTCAAGTTTGCAAGTTTGAAGCTGTCAGGGAACAATCAGCCTCTTTGCTAGCAGAGACCTGGGCACCTCCCTACGTCAGTGTGCCAGTGTCTCAGGAACAGTCTGGTTTGGGGAGGGGATGACATAGCTCTGCATGACATACTGAGGGATTGCAGGGGAAGCTGGCAGGGCTTCTGCCCAGGGACTAGGGTTTCCCAAACAAGATGCACCAAGGAGTGGTAGAAGGAAGAAGGAGAATCTGGGAGAGGAAGTCTGGTGCTCTCCTGCCTGCTCACACCTCCCTGTTGGCACAGAGAAAGGGGGTCAACAGCTGATGTGCTCTGAGTACTGCTTGTGGGAAGCCCAACTGGGGGCAGCCTGGCAGAGGAGGAGAAATGCTCTGGGCCAATCATCATCACACACAAAGAGCAGGATGCCAAACACATTACACATGCATTTAATAGACACATTCCAGAGGGGAACACGGGAGCACTCACTCCAGCAGGCAGCTTATAAGCAGCCTGAGACAGACAGCTGGGGACAGCCAGGCATTGAGGTGGCCTGGGAGACATAGACTCCCTCCTCCCTTCCATCACTGAATCTTGAGGGAGGGAGGAAGGGAGGGAGGAAGGTGGAGCTGAAAAGCATTTGCAGACTGCCTGGGCCTAGCTGGATCGGCTGGATATGAACCTTGGAAGACAGGGACTTTGGATTTGCATATCTAGCACAGAGAGGGGCCAGCAGTGACTTGGGGACTGTCAGGAGGGCAGAGGCTGCCTTAGGCCAAAGAATGGGGTTTAGCCAGGATATCAGGCTCTCCAGCATTACAGGTAGGCCTTGTGCAGGGGAGAGAAGGACCCAGGTGTTCAGGTGTGAGTGCAAATGGGCTTCAGGGCAGGGGTGAGAGAGTGGGTTGGCTGCCTGGTTTAGTGCTTAAAGCTCTTCCTGCTGGAGGATGTGGTAGAGACAAATTTGACGCTGGAGCCACTGCCCCCTAGGCCCCGGCTGCTGCTGGTGGTGAAACCAGAGCCTCCTAGGCCGTGCCCACCGCTGGAGGTGAAGGAGTAGCTGCTGCCTCCACCAAGACCCAGGCTTCCACCTCCAATGCCGTTGCCACCACCATAGCCACTGGAAACCGTGGAGGTGACCACAGCTGCTGGAAGAGAGGAGACAGAGTCAGAATCACGGGCAAGAGAAAAGACATCTGGAGGGTCAGGGCCTGTGCCCTGAAGTCCTTGATTGGGGATGGGTAGTTGTGCCAGGCAGCTGTTGGCTCCCTTCCCATTTCCCCATCTATTTAATGAGGCACGGTCTTATGCTTCAGCCTGTTTTCCGTAGGCTACGTACCAGCATTCTCTCAGGCCAGAAGGGCTTACTGCCTCCTCTCTGCTTCTCAGTGCTTTCTCCTCCTTTCAGAACGCACTGGAGGCCCCTTCTCCAGGAAGCTCTTTCCCTTAACTCTCCCACATTCTCCCTTCTGCTTTGTCTGATCCTCTCTCTCTCTGGGCTTGTCCCTTCCTTCTGGGAGCTCATAGGGGATGCACATGCTCTTACTGTGGTGTTCTGTAGCCTCAACACCCTCAATCCCAGAGGGGAGTTGGAGTGTTCTTGATATACCAAAGATGAACCTGTTGGCCAGTCAGCTCTGCCCCTTTTCTCCTACCAATCTGTTCTCCCAACTTACAACCACTTATCACCTTACACATTCTAGTACCTTACTTTGGGCTCTGCAGAAGAAAAATTGAAATAAAAAAAAAGGTATCTGTTACAGGATGAATTGTGCCCTCTAAAAAATTGTGAAGTCTTAACCCCAAGTACCTGTGAATGCAGTGTTATTTGGAAATAAGATATCTGTGAATGTAATAAAGTTAAAGTAAGGACTTTAATCCAGTATGACTGGTCCTTATAAAAAGAGGGAAGGTGTCCACATGAAGGCACAGATGCAAAGAGACAAGGCTATTTGATCACAGAGAAAGACTGGAGTGAGGAAGACCAAGGATTGACAGCTACTACCAGAAGCTAAGGAGTGGCAAGGAAGGATTCTCCCCTACAAGTTTCAGAAGGAGCATGGTACACCTACACCTTGCCTGTGGACTGTAGTCTCTGGACCTGAGAGATGATGTGTTTCTGTTAAACCTCTCAGGCTATAGTATATTGTCACAGCAGTCCTAGGAAGCCAGCACAGGCCTCTAGGTAGCTTCAAGAGAAGGAAATCTCAAGCTTGTATCATCTGTTCCTAACATTAGTTTTGGGGTGGGGAGTGTCTGCAACCATCGGACAAGGATATCAGGGAAGAAGGACATGGGGTGGTTCAGAGAGTTCTGCCTTCTAGAATCCCTGGCTAATATAATCAATTGTTCTTATCAATCTGCCATCAAGTAAACCAACTCATGTGTAGAATGTCAGTTGTCAGAGTTATTTCTGTGCCAGCACTGAGCTTTGTGAGTGCCAATCCCTGCTCTTACCAGTATAGCACAACATGCTGTGCCCCTCCTACTTTGGAGTGGCTGCACCTGGCTGTCATGTTCCATGCTGCCTTGGCTGCCTTGAAAACCCAGGGCACCTTCCTTTGGCTATGCTCTGCAGAGTTAAGCCAAGCAGCGAGCTCACCCCAAAGTGTTGGGAGGAGGAAGGATGGCCTCACGGCCATGCCCTTGCACCCAGTGTGAAGGCTCCCTTCACAGCCCCCAGGCAGATCTGGAACTTTCATAAGTCCTGTTGACATCAAATGGTCTCTGAGGTGTCTGAACTAGACTCACAGCCCCAGCAAGACTGCGTGGGATATGGGGAGATGGGCTGTGTGGCCGGGCTTTCTAAACCCGAAAGAACAATTACAGCAACCTCCATGGTATGACATTCTCACTCCCAAAGGCATAAGAATTGTGACATTGAAAACTCTTGCCTGATATGGTTGTCTCCTCAACAGACTCAAACTCTCACCTCAAAATTAACCCTGCTTAGGGATTCCTTTTAATGCCTGTGTCCTCCTCTCCCAAGCCTACCCTTCTCCCTCCCTTGCCCTCCAGATGACACAAGAAGGGCGTCATACTCACAGATATTAACTGGAGAAACTCCTTCTCCGCTCAGCCTGATTGGGAGGAGGGGAAGGAAGGTTAGAATTGTGGCCAGCAGTTTGTGGCATTTGCAGTGACATTTTAACAATTGCTTTAAATGCACTGAAAAATATTTTTTATTGCAGAAGTAATGCAGGTTGAAATTATGAAAATATTAGTAGTATCAAAAATGATAATAGTCTAATGACTAGAATAACGTGGAGTTTGAAGTTCATAGGCATAAAACGTGTAATTGCCAAAGTACATTTTTGGTTTAAACTAAGCACCTTCAGGAAATGAAGACTAATTACAATTGGCGTCAATTAGAAAGACAGAGCTTGTCCTATAGGAAGATTTCAGCAAATCTCAACAAAGGACTCTTGTCATGCACTGAGGTGATTATAGGCATGGAGAGGAATCTGAGTCATAAAAATAACAACAGCAATAATGGGTCTATTACAGTCTTAGCAACTGGCATTCATTCTTAAACACATACTTAGAACAAGAGTGAACACTTACGCAATTCCTGTTGCCTACATTTTGTCACTTAGTTCTTTCAACAACCCTTTTAGGTAGGTATTATTATCTCAATGTTATATAGGGGAAATTGAAGCTCAGAGAGGTTAATTAACGTCTATGGGTACAAAACTGAGCTTGAAGCCAGGTTCATCTGACTCCAAAGCCCATGTCTTTGGCCACTAAACTGAATGAGAACTAATATTTTTGGAATGCTTGCTGCCTACCAGGCGTTATTCTAAGAGCTTCACGTATAGTCCTCTATTTTAGCCCTCTTAGTAACATAAAGGTCAGAACTATCATTATGCCCATTTTATAGGTCTGAACACTAAGATGTGCAGAGGTTAAGTAATTTGCCCTTAGTTACACAGTTGGTAATTGGCAACTCTCAGTGAGCTTTGGGGATCATGTAATCTGATCCTTTCATTCTGCAATTGAAGAAATTGAGGGCTAGAGGAGGGGCTGATTTTCCCCAATTCTGGACAGAGCTCTTTAGATCACATTTAAGATATTCTATGTTACCAAACTTCCCTTTGATAGACTGTGATTACTTAGACCTGCTCAGGTCTTAGATTTCTGTATGGTGCTAAACAGTTCACTGCAAGTGATTTACAAGCCTGGAAGGAAATTGCACTTGTGGTCTTTGTCAAGGTCCAATTTCACCCTCATTTTGTTTCCTTTTCCAGTAGAGGAGGCTGCATCAACCCAGTGCCTAGGCAGCTGGGGGGCTCTGCTTGCACTGAGGATGGACTAGTGCACTGGACCCTCACCTGCATTCCTCGCCTTCCAGCAGCTTGCGATAGGTGGCAATCTCCACGTCCAGGGCTAGCTTGACATTCATCAGTTCCTGGTACTCGCGCAGCAGCCGAGCCATGTCCTGCTTGGCTTTCTGCAGGGCCTCCTCAAGGTCCACCAGTTTGGCCTGTGCATCTTTGAGAACTAGCTCCCCTCGCTGTTCTGCATCAGCGATGGCCGTTTGCAGGCTGGAGCACTAAAAAGACAGGAGGACACCATGAGCCCTCCAGATGGCCCCTGGAGATGGGACACTCCCTGGGCAGCAGTCTCTGATGGTAGAATGACCCAGAAGAAGTGAGCAGTTGAGGAGCTCCTGGCCCTGCCAGTCCTTTACCTGTTTCTTGACATTGTCGATCTCGGCTCTCAGCCTCTGGATCATGCGGTTCATCTCGGAGATCTCTTGTTTGGTGTTACGGAGGTCATCGCCATGTCTGCCCGCTGTGACCTGCAACTCCTCATACTGATAGGACCAGAGCAAACTCAGTCATCTAGTTAAACGCCTGGCCTGGGCACTCTGTGCGCCACAAGTGAACCACTCATCCATTGGTCTCTCTCTTGCTTCTTCACAGGTGAGATTTCTTTTTAAAAATTTTAAATACTTATAATGTATTAATTTTAAAGAAATACAGCCAAGGGCCGGTGGAGTGGCTCAAGTGGTAGAGTGCCTGCTTAGCAAGCCCGAGGGCCCGAGTTCAAGCCCCAATACTACCAAACAAAAAAACAAAAAACCCCATAGCTGAATATATTCATTCCTGAAAAATCTGTAACTTTAAACAAATAGAAAATTTGTATGATATTCAGTGTTAATTAGAGTTGTTTTCATTTATATTACTTATTTTAAATTAAATATTACCAAAATGTAGCATGGGGATACTTAAGTTTACTCCATCCCCAATGGTCACCTTGTAAAAATACCTCTAGCATTTCAATCATTAGCTAATACACAATCAAATAATGCCAATTAATTTTATTATCCTGAAGAAGCTAAGTAAAATATGATTTAAAAAAATCACCATTCATTTATAAAACGATTAATATCATATTTGTGATTCAGAACCAACTAATATTTATTGATCACCTCTTATTTTCCAGGTCCAAAAACATGCTTGTTATCTTATAGAATTCTCAAAACCATCCTTTAAGATAGACGATAGGACTTTTTACTTAATAGAGGAGAAAATTAAGAATCTGACAGATAGGAACTTTCTCAATGCTACAGGCAGAAATATATTCAATCATACTGACTGCATTCAGGCAGTATTTCTTAAGCACATGTCCTTGCAGGGGGTGGAGGCAGCAGGCTGTGGGAACCAGCACAAACAGCAACCCCCCCACTCCCACCCCCAGCTTACAGCTTAATGGGGTAGATGGACACTGGTCAAATTGCTGAATTTATAGTTTCAAACAGAGATTAAGTGTCCCTTGAGAAAGAAACAGTGTCCTTGACCTAGAAGCCTGACCTAGATTTAGAAGTGGGTAGGAGTGGTAAGGGAACTCCAGAAATGGAGATGTTTAAGCTGTGCTTTGAAGGATGGGAAGGAGGGGCTGAAAGTGCCAGTTTAGGAGAAGAACATTGCAGACAGAGGAAAGAGCCCGTGAGAAAACCTAAGGCAGAGGGGAACATTGCGAGTTCTAGGAGTGAGGGGGAAACTTGTTTACTGCCCCTGGGGAGTTCCTGGTCTTGGGCATATGTCCACACCCACTGTGTCCATGAATTTCAGTAGCCCTCCAGACACCAGTGCTGGGAAATGGGGAGGAGATGCAGGCAAATGGTTGTTGGATATTGCAGAGCCTGTGGGTGGCACAATTTTGACCTTTGTAAAAGAGTCCCTGGTCTCAGTGACTCTCAAGTCTAATTCTTCATATCCAGGACACTCATTTAGGAGGAATCATTACATCCTATCTCCTCTGGCATACTGGAGAGAAATCCACACCTTTCCCAACCAGGAGAGCCCCTGCCTAAGTCAAGATCTGCTTAACTTGGAAAATGCTGGACAGCTCAGCTTCCTCTGTTTCTAGATACAATGAGAAGAAACAACAGTCCAGCATCACAGGGAATTGTTTGCTGTAAATTTTAGCCACTTCAGAATGGGACCTGCCTGGAACTGAGGGGGGGAAGAGGGGGAAGGTGGGGGAGGAGGACAGGGTGGAGAAATGACCCAAAGAATGTATGCACATGTGAATAAATGAACAATAAATAAATGAATAAAAAACAAAACAAAAAAAATTTCAGCCACTTCACTTGGGTTTAAGTGCATCTCACCTCTGCTCACTGTCAAGAAACTGAACCATGGACCCCTGCCATGTGCCACCTCTTTCTGTTCTACCACACAGTTAACAAGCAGGGACTAAGGCAGTGCACAGAGAAAGGCAAGGGATGGGAGCCAGCATGGTGGTGAGCAGCTGCCCTTGCAAAGGGCCTAGATTTGGCAGTGAACTAATCTCATGTGTCTACCCATACCCCTCCAAAGCCAAACTTCCTTCTGGCCATACGAGGCTTTGGACATTAGTTCTCTATGGCTGTTCCAACCTCCCTCTTCAGGCAGGAGCACTCTTGTTTCACAAAATATTAATTACTGCCTACCAACCTTAAGCATCTCCCACTAGGAGATGCTTCTCTACTAAGACCCAGCCAGGTCTTTCTGGAAGCTTTTTACTAATGTTGCCTTTTCCTCTTCTGTGATTGCCCAGTCACTTTATGGCCTCCCAGACCTCAGGTTTTCTTGATAGTTTTTCATTTACAAACTTATAAACCTGCTTAGCAGACAACAGAGCTCAATGCACGTGTATGGGATTAATAAACCCTTTACACTTGCCTATGACTACTTTTTGGTCATTTTGGGGTCTCATTCAGCCCACCTAGATTGCGAGCAATGTGAATGATGTGCATTGTCTGGGAAACCTACTATTGTATGTGGTTAGGTTTCTACATGCATTTCAATCTAGGTTTTCATAGCATCAAAGATGTTCCTGCCAAGGTGAATGAAATGAAAACACATTTCTTAAGAGGTGATGACGTGAAGCCTCGGAAAACCCTGACCTTGGACTATCACCAAAGTGCCCATGCTCACCTTAGTCTGGTACCAGGACTCAGCTTCTGCCCGGCTACGGTTGGCAATGTCCTCATATTGCGCCTTGACCTCAGCGATGATGCTGTCCAGGTCCAGGTTGCGGTTGTTGTCCATGGACAGGACCACTGATGTGTCACTGACCTGGGTCTGCATTTGGGACAGCTCCTTGAAGACATCAACTCAGTGTCACACAAGCACAGAAAGAAGGGACCTTGAATCCCCAAAGCAACTAACTGACTAATGCCTAGGTTAGAAATCCCTTTCTTGGTATTCCTGTCACAGACACTTCCAGCTGTCCCCTGGGCACTCCCAGACATGTAAGGAAACCCATTCCATCCCAGCAAGTGTCTAGGTCACCAATGGGTGTGGTGGGAGTGCTCCCCAGCATCACCTCTCCAGGCTTCCATTGGTGTGGGGTGTGGGTGGGAGACTGTCATCTGGATTCAAATCACATAGATTTGAATATGACAAGTTTGCTTATATGCTGCACAAATGCTTTCTTCAGGATCAGCGATGTTTAGGACTCTGTTGCCACACTCTCCCCCAGTGTGACTTAATTGCTTCCTTCTTCTCTTTCCCTTTCCTCAGACCAAGGTATCTGCCTTCCATGGGGTGGGCCAAGAATGAGGCATCTTCAGAAGGCAAGAAGCCTCCAGCTAGTGAGCTGAGGGCCAGCTTGCTTCTTTGAACTTTTCTGGCAAAAGGGAGGGAGCAGGTTGGTTTTAATTTCCTGGGAATGTTACCCAATGAACTAGGATATGGAAATCAGCACTTCCTTCTTGCCAGGGCTATTCTGCCATAGGATAGGGAGAGAAGTCTCAGAGCTGGGATAGTTGAGTGTGACAATGTTTCATGTGTGCTCCCTGGCCCCCACGCTTCCCCAGTCCCCAGCTTGTGGCGTCCAGTGAAAGACACTCTGAAGCATTCTTTTCTTTCTAGGTTTCAGACCTGAAGGGCACAAAAACACTTGTAGACTCTTACTGCCTCAAAGACCATCCGGAGGAAGTTGATCTCATCAGTCAGAGAGTCAACCTTGGCTTCCAGCTCTACCTTGTTCATGTAGGCACCATCCACATCCTGCAACGACAACCCAGGAGGCTCTTCTGAGACCCCAGCAATGAACAGTGAGTGAAAAGAAGCCAGGAGGAGGCCTGCTAGAAGATTCGTCCTTCTAGCTTGGATTTTAGAGAATTCTGTGCCTGGGGGTCTGGGGTTGGGGACAGTCCTCACTGAGCCTGAAGCTTGAGCCCCTGGGCTAACAGAAACCTGAATGGGGCCATGGGGCTTTCAACCCAAAAGTTTGAGATGTCCAGATAGTCTTCAGTCTGATGTGACATTTTTTGGGTGGCCCAATGATCAAGCTACCCCCCCACCCCAAGATTCAGTGCAAACTCTCCTTTGAAAGACACTTCCACTCACCTTTTTCAAGGCCACAAATTCATTCTCGGCGCTCGTGCGCTTGTTAATTTCATCTTCGTACCTGTAAGGCCAGGGGTGAGGGGGGTGCTGTTGAGCAAGGCTTCCATTTAACTCTTCTCAGGCTGGTGTAGCAAGAATTAAAAGACCTTCAATCCTTTCCAGCTCTCCCACTGTCCTGTACATGACTTTGGGTGATTCACTTAACCTCTGTTTCTTCCTCTATAAAAGGGGGATGATTTCTTCTGCCAGTTTTTTTTTTAACTTTTACAAGACTAGAAGGTGATCAAGGAACTCATGGGATTAGAAATATGTTCATAGGAAATTCTATCTCTTTATAGATGCATCATTCTAATTGTCAAAAAATTTGCTGTCTCCAGTGCCCACTGAATCTGCAGACCAAGCTTCATTTGTTCTAGACCCTGTTCCATGTAGATTTGGATATATTCTCACTGAACCTCAGGGTGGCAAGTGAGTAGGGTGTTCTTTGTGATTAGGTGTAGCTCAAGCTCAGAAACTGAGAATATTGCAGCCAAGGAATTAGTTAGGACCATCCTTTTCCATTGCCTACCTCCCCTACTACAGGATGAATGATGGACAGCCAAAAGTTGCCTCTGTGAGGAAGATCAGTTTGCCCCATTTCTTCTTTGCTACCTCCTTTCACTCCTGAGCTAATGTCATTTTGGAAATGCAAGCCATCTCAGTCACTGAGTCCATGTCCAAAGAAACTAAATAATAAAATGAAGGCGAAATTATACTATGTTTTCCATAATGACCAGTAAGGTTTGGTTAGATGATGTTGGTATCCCTTTGTAGTCATAGAGACAGATAAAAATAGGCTCCTTGTTAATAATGACAAATGAGATGAAGGTCCCTTTGTTATCTTACACATGTTGTCTTCACCTAATGGGATCCTGACTTGCAAGTTCCATAGCTCTCAGCTGACACTGGCCTTTACTCTTTAGCACACCTCTCTAGTCCTCACAGAAAGGAGCTCTGAGAGGCTGTGTGTAGCCAGGAGCCTGTTTCCCACTCACCTGACTTTGAAATCTTCTACGACCTCCTGCATGCTCCTCAGCTCAGCATCCAGCCTGCCCCTTTCAGTGGTGACACCATCCAGTTGCCTTCGGAGGTCATTGATGTAGGTGTCAAAAAGAGGCTCCAGGTTCTGCCTCACGGTCCTGGAGCCCTGCTCCTGCAGGAGGTTCCACTTGGTCTCCAGAACCTTGTTCTGCTGCTCCAGGAAGCGCACCTGGAGAGGGGGCGAGAGAATAAAACTTGAGAAGCTGGGGAGGCAGAGCTGGGCACCCCTATTAACAAGGGAGGCAAGATGTTTTTTCATCCCATGCCCAACTGGCAAGTATGTATTTGACAACTCCTGTCCCAAATGAGAAAGACCACGAAGCTGCCCTAAAGACGTAGGACTTCCAGGGAAAGGGAAAAGGGGGGTAAGAGCCTCTATGAGAAAGTCTTTGGGCCTGGGAACACTGCCTACTCTGGTAACTGGCTCATTGGAGCTTTACTCTCAATGTTGACCGTGAACCAGATGATACTCAGAGAGGACAAGGGGACATTTCCACCAGGTTCTGAGGGTCAACTGGCCTGACTTGAAAATGCCTTGGCCATGGTAAGTACTGGTTGACCCGGTGCACATTCCCTTGGGGCACTCTGCTTTCCCCAGAGTTTATTCACCCCAATGCACTGGGACACATGAGGGGCCTGCCCTACCTTGTCGATGAAGGAGGCGAACTTGTTGTTGAGAGTCTTTATCTGCTCACGCTCTTCTTTTCGCACCCTCTGGATGGTGGGGTCAATTTGCAAGTTGAGGGGAGTCAGGAGACTCTGGTTGACAGTGACCTCTTGGATGCCTCCAGGGGGGCAGGCGGGGAAGCCAGGGCCACCAAAGCCCCCTCCAACGCCACCCCCATAGCCAAATCCACCACTACCCCTACTGCCAAAGCCGCTCCGGAAGCCACCACACCCACTAATGGAGACCCGTTTGGTCCCCCCCAGGTTGTAAAGGCTGCGGCTTCCAAAGCCAGCCCCAGTGCCACTGATCCTGCCCAGTCCCCCGCTGTTCCCTGTGGTGCGGGCCACGGAGACCGAGCTGAAGCGGGAGCGCCCTGCAGCTGGGGTAGTGGCCGAGGCAGTGCTGAAGCCCCTGCGATTGCCGGTGTGGAAGGTGATGGTAGACTGCCGAGACATGGTGGGTAACGATGGCTGGTGAGTGGAGCTCTGAGGTAGGCTGTGAAGGGGATGGAGAAGCCAGGCAGCTGGGGAGCTGCAGGGCCTCTGGGCTTTTATGGGCCTCCATGAGGGGCGGGGCAAAATAATGAAGGGGGCCTTGCTGATGGCATCCCCTAGGCATTCGCCAACCCTGAGGTCACACTCAGCACCCCTTGGGAAATGACAAAAAAAAGCCACTGGTTGGTTCCCTTCTTCCCTCCCCCACGTGGAAACTCCTTTCCAGTTGCAACTTGATCAGCAGACCAGTGAGAAGCAAGTTAATTGCTTTCTGTCATGTCCTAATCATGCATCTTCTAATGGAGTCAAAAAACACTGCCTCATTTCTAAACCGCTTTCTTAGGCCTGGGACCAACTCCCTCCTGTCCAAACATCTTGTGTCAATACAAGCTACTGCGATTCACTGGTTCCTCTTTCTTGGTATGCTTCCTGTGCCTAAAGATTTTCTCAGCAGCTACCACCTAGCTCCCCCTCGCCATCAGGCTGGCCCTCATGATCTTGGAAGGAAAATCCTGTCTACACTCATCTTCCCTGGACATCACCCAGTGTTGATGGCCCCCCTTCTTTTGCTCTAAAACTTGCATGTCTGTTGTATAGGTCATATGTGATTTTCTAGAGTGTGTGTGTGCTTGGGTGTACACCATGCCCACTCCAGTAAATATGGCTTTTGAGACCAGCCAGCCTTCCATCTCTGTGGACAGAAGTTGTGAGAGTAAAAAGACTTGAGTGTGAATCCAAGCCCCACCAATGACTAACCTAGGAACCTTGGGTGCATCATGGGACTTTTCTGAGCTTCAATGTGTGTGTATAAAATAGGGTTTGTGATGAGTATTAATGTGTGAAGATTAATTTTGCAATGCCTCGATCACATAAGCATAGAGTACATGCTCATTGACTCCTCTTTTCTCCCAATTCCTACAAGTGTATCCATCCTGCAGCAAGTCCTGTGGAGTTTCAGAAGAATGCAATGTGCTTTCTTTTTCTTTAGTAATAAGGTCAGGGTCCTGTTGGAAGACAAAAGGAAGCATGCTAGATAAGTTTTGAACAAGGTGGTATACAGTGAAGAATCCCTTCCCAGTCACCCTTGTGGCTGCCTTTTCCCAGACTATTCCCCCTCCTGAGACCTGGGCTACCTAACTTTTCCCACCTTCATCAAAATAGCCCCAAGGTTGAATCCAGTGGATGATCCGCCCACACAACCTCATTCATTTTCGAGACAGAGTCTCACTATGTAGAGAGCCTGGTCAGACTGGCCTTGAACTCACTATGTAGCCTATGTTGGCTTTGAAGTCTTGACCCTTCTGCCTAAGCCTTCAGAGTACTGGGATTATAGGCATACACAGCCATGCCCGGCTCATTCATCTTCTTGACCACACCCTACATCCCCTACTAGGGTAAAGCCAGATAGGGAATCTATTGTTGCCCTCACAACCCCTTTCCTGGCATCTCCTCTTCCCCATCTCTATCATGGAGCAGCCAGCCAGAGAAATGGCCAAGCCTCTTGCTTCGTGCTGTGGTTTCAAAAGATGCAAGAGTAGGAGAGGGAATGAAAGGTGTTCCATCTCCACTGTGGGGATGAGGAAACAAGATATACAGTGATTAATTCAGAGACAGGCCACCTTGCAAGTGAGAAGCAGAGCCAGGTGCCATGGTCCTTCCATACAGGTGTCCTTTGGGAGGCCCACAAGTAACCAGAGGCTGACAAATGCTCTCACCTACCTGGAATGGTAGGTTGGCACTTGGAGTTGCAGTCCGGAGCTTCTGAGCCATCTCTTCCCTGGGGCTCTGACCAGGGGCTGGGCCTCTCCTCTAGCTGGGGTTGTTGAGAGTCAAGAGTCTCGCTTCTACAGGGAACCTGTGAATCACAGCTTTTGTTGACATAGGCCAAGCAGAGCACAGGTGATCTCTCACTGGATTGCCAGTGCATCCAGGCCCCAGCCAGGGTGGTGCATGCTTTTCTTTTCAAGTGGAAAGAATAAACATCTTTGTGCTCTGTGCTCCTTGTTACATGATAATCTGTCTCCCAGAGAACGGATGCTTGTTTGTTTCCCCAGTGTACTGAGTAAACTCTGCACAGCTTTCTGCAGAACAAAGGCTGGCGAGGGGCAGGGCATAGGAGTGACTGATGGGACAGGCCCACAGGAGGGGAAGGAGGCTATCAGATATCTCCCTCCCCATTCATAGCAAAACCAGCTCCAGGCTGCTTTCCTCCTGTCCATTCCTTCTGTCCTCACACCCTCTCCTGGACCCCCAGTTCCAGCCACTGTTATCTCATTGTTTCCACTTCTGCTTCTTGGTGCTGCTAACTTTGGTCGGGGTTGCTCGCTTACTCTTTCTTCCCCTCATCTCTCTAATTTTCCCACCAGGATGATTGATCCCAAAGCTAGCTTCTTATTGATGTTGGTGAGCTACATTGAGAGATGTCTTCACCTCTCTTCTTCATTCCTTCTTCTGTGACCTGTTACCTGCACTGTGACCTTTTCGCTAGTAGATAGTGAGTCCCTGGATGCCTGGCCTCCCTGACAGCCTCTTTCATCACCCCCTTTATTTTTATTTATTTTACATCTGTGGTGCTGGGTATTCAATCTGGGGCCTTATGCATACTAAGGCAACCCCCTTTAAAATATTAAAACTTACTGACTGGTAATCCCTTCTTCTTTGCTTTCTGCCAAACTCTTTGTCTGTGGCTTTCAATCTTTATAATTCTGCTTCAAACTCACTCTCGAGAAGCCTGTTAGGTAAACTGGGCCCAGTGCTAACCCCTTTCCACCTGTCTCTTAGGAGGCCTGGGTGTGGCATGTGCTTCGAGAGTTGGTTTGTTGGTGGCCTGGGTGTTAATCTACTTCTGCCAGCTGGGGTGCTTCTGCCTCCTTTCCCCATATATCTCCTAAGCTCCCCAAATAGAGCTGTGGTAGGAGGTCATGCAGCATACAGGATCTAACTTAAAGGAGGGCTACACATTCCCTCTGATCTTTTTTTTTTTCATTTATTCACATGTGCATACATTGTTTGGGTCATTTCTCCACCCTGCCCCCCTTCCTCACCCTTCCCCTCCTCTATTGGGTCCTTCTGGGAGGAGTTTTCTTGAGGTTTGGGGGAGCAGTGGATCCAAAGGCATGGTGTGTGCTTTGCTGTGTATGACTGGGACTATCAAAATCAGCCATTTCCCAGATGTCTGTGCCTTCTGCTTAAGGTGATGGCCACTATCCTCAGAGGGACCTGAGGTCCTTGGCAGGTGGTTGATTCCAAGGTTCTTAGCTGGGTGTTAACTGGAGCTGTGAAGTGGGGGAGGAGGAGATCTGTCCCCCCCACCCAGGTGAGGAGTAGGGGTGCACTAGGGAGCTTTGGCTTCCAATCATGCTAGAGCAGAGGAGGCATCTGGGTGGAGACCTATGGGACAGAAGGGACTGCTTCCCCAGAACAGACTGACCCCTGAGTACAGCATCTGAGAACACAGATCACAGCCACCTTCCCCCACTGCCCAACACGCTGGATCACTCCTGGCCTTCTGCTCCATCCTGGATTTAATGAGTAGCTGTCAGCACTTATCACATGCCATGTGCTCACTCTTGTAGTCGAGAGAGACACAGCTATGAGCAAAACAGAAATCCCTTCTTTCCTGAAGCTCATGCTAGAAGAGACAGGGGAGTTGAGGCAGTTTGGAAGTGCAGTCCATTATACCTGGTTTGCCAGGCTGACACATCCCTTGGGGATGAGGGTGGAGAAGGTGATTCTGTCTTCTTGGGATAGCTGGGCCAGAAACACTTTTCTACCTTGACAATGCATGTGTGTGGGGGTGTCTGCACCTCCTCAGCATCTGCTGGATTTACAAGGCACCACCATCTCTAAGGGGCTCAGGCCCTCTACCTCCCAGTCTGCTTTGCCTTTAGTGACAATAATTTCTTTCCAAAGGGCACTAGGTGTGCCAGTTCATCTCAACAATCTAGTAAGGTTCTGGGCTTGGAACATCCACCTTCATGCAGCCAGACTCACCTGGTCTGCTCCCCTTTCCACTGGCCTTTCCAAAGGGCCTGGGTGAATGGGCAGGTGCAGAGCTCTGTGCAGGTAGGCAGCAGCCCTCAAGACCCTTCAGTAAGTCTTAGTAGAAAAATGGTGCTTATACGAAACAAGACAGAGCTGTCTCTCCCCTCCAAAATCAAGTGCTTTAGACATATTCAACAGATGCACCTGTGCGAGGTTCAACTTCAGAACACTCACAAAATATCAGTCTACACACTTGTGTGGTGGCGACTGGGTGCATCAGAAAAGACAAGTGAAGCAAAGGAGCAGAATTAACCTTTTTAAAGCCTGGAGGAGCCATAGAGATGAGAAAACCAAGGTCAAAAGAGGGACAAAACTGTAGACAGCTGTACAGCCATGTGGTTTCCCAGCCACACCTTTTGATTCCTTCTGCTGTCTTACATTTGTCCTGAGCCTCTCTCTCCTTGTAGAGTTCAGAGAAAAAAAACTGCCTGTTGCCTTGACACAGAGTTGGGGCCTTTCCTGGGGGATAGGGTGAGTGACATGCCAGCATCTTGAGGGCCCTCCCAGTGTACCCCAACAGAAAATGACTGGGGGGGACATAGACAAGACAGGATTGCAGGTGTGTCTTGGTTATTCACCTCTGACCACTTCAATGGCTTCCTTTGGTTTCCCCAAACAGGGACACTGTGAGAGGAAAGTGGAGGAGAAATGAGATGCTTCTCCACCCTTCCTCAGAGGTGGGGGCCCAGCAGCCCTCTGAACAGAGCGAGGAACACAATGCCTAGAAACTCGGTGTGGTGAACACTGGCATAGAGCCATGGCCTGTGGGCACAGACTGGGTGGGCTGGGTGATACTGGCACACTGAGAGACGCTGTTGACACTACCCCAATAGCTTGTGACTGATTTGGAGGTGGCTGTTGAGGACTGAGGTGTGTGTCACCAGTTGAGAAGGAAGAGCTGGAGTAATCGCCTACTCCTCCTTCCCCACATCC